ATTGAGATGTTTTTTGTTTATATATTTTTTTCGATACAAACACAGCGATTATAGTGAACAATTCATAGTTTAGTTAGTTAATTCTCTTTTACCTCAATTTCGCAATAAAGAGCCACTTGTTAATTTAAAAAAATAACTTAGTAACTTGAAGACAAAATATGCTAAGTCACTTTATACGACATGACGATTTTATAAAGAGCATAGTAGAAGGAAAAATAGAGGGCAAAAGTGGAAGGGGAAGACCAAGGAATAACTACATGGGACAGATAAAGGAAACACTAGGTGTCATATCGCATAGGGAGGTCAATAAAATATGACCTGGTACAGTGCTACATGGAAGAAAATGCATGAATTAGTTGCACCGACAATAGAAAACTCTTAAATGACAAGAGAAGACAAAGTATATATGACTAAAAACTAGTTAACCTAAATAGTGACATAATTTATATCAGATACAGAAAATTGGCCTTTAAACAAACAAGTTCTGCGAAGATTCGCGACACAAAATTCGTAAAAGAAAAAATATGTTAGGTACCTATTTCTAAGAAATTTTAAATAAATCTGCGGTTTGAATCGGTAAATTTCCATGTGAGGTTCTACTAAAATTTTATCCTTACTATCCTTGGACAGTAAGGACAATAGTAAATAAGTTAATAGTAAGCTATTATAAAAAACTAGCGATCCACCCCGGCTTAGCGCGGGTAAGTAGATGAATAAATCAGTATTTCATTAGATCTAATTTTTTTTTAATAATATATAGCTTATGCTTAGATTATATAAATAGTGTCTCCATATATATACATATACATATATATATATATATATTGCTAATATATTATAAGTAGTATTTATGTATTATATGTGTATTTCTTATGTATATTATGTATAATTATTTCAGTATTTTGCTATAATTATGTCACATATTCTTCACCACATCTGCCCTTCATACGCTTTCTGTTTTTACCTAATGGTTAGCTGGTAGAGAATGCCATATGGTATTAAGCTCGCCACTTGTACAAAGTTTTATTGTGCAATAAAGAATAAATAAATACAAATGCTTGGAGATAAGCGGATCAACTTTTTAATACAATTTTGCGTGGTAAACATTTATGAGTGTTTCCTTTATAACTTCTATATTTATATTATTTTATAATTTTCGCATCTTTTGAATGCTCAAAAACCCATTTTATTTATTTAATAATGAAATATAGGTACGTCAAGATACATTGTGTGCGTAAGTATTATATATAGAACATTAATAAAAAAAACGAATCAGCTAATTAGGCAATTAGCTGACAAAAAGTTGACCCGTTTTTGAGACTCGATGCTCTATCTATATAATCTAAAAGCCTATAATATACGCTGATAATGTAACTTTATATGGGTGAAATAATTTTTAAAATTGATTGAATAGTTTTTGCATTTATACATTACAAGTAAGTTATGCGCTGATAATGTAACTTTATATAGGTGAAATAATTTTTAAAATTGATTGAATAGTTTTTGTATTTATACATTACAAGTAAGTTATGCGCTGATAATGTAACTTTATATAGGTGAAATAATTTTTAAAATTAATTGAATAGTTTTTGTATTTATACATTACAAGTTATGCGCTGATAATGTAACTTTATATAGGTGAAATAATTTTTAAAATTGGTTGAGTAATTTTTAAGTTTATACATTACAAGTAAACAATCGAATCTTTCCTCTTTATAATATTAATATTATATAGGAATAGTGAAGTAAATTAATCCGTTAAAGTTAACTTATGTTTATTCTTATATAGTTACAACGATGCTTAGAAAGGTCAAATGAACTATGAGGAAGGTGTCAATAACAAGAAATCAAGATTTTCCATTATCTTCCGGTAGATGAATGAACAATATTGTTTAGTTATTAATTTAAAAAATGATAGATATTCGGAATTAGTCTCTTTTCATTTAAGAGATTCCTCTTGTCGGTGCAACTAATTCATGCATCTTCCTCCAGCCAGCTCTATCCCAGGCCATATCTTTTATCTCCCTATACGACATGACGCCTAGTGTTTCCTTTATCTCTCCCATGTAGTTATTTCTCGGTCTTCCTCTTCCTCTTTTGCCCTCTATCTTTCCTTCTACTGTGCTCTTAAAAAAATCGTCATGTCGTATAAGGTGGCCCAGTATTTTGCCTCTTCTATTCTTTATTTATAGGAATTAGTACCTAATTGATATTAGAAATAATAATGACTACATATAAATTTCATATGCTGTGTCATTTTTTTATACCACAAAGGCGGTTAACAAGCATACAACCCGTCTGATGGTAAACGATCACTGTAGCCTATAGACGCCTGTAACACTAGGTATTTCACGTGCGATCCCGTACCCAAGCAATCGACTTTTGTACAAAGTCTTCCTCTGATCTTTAATTTTGTGGCTTATTTCCATATTTATAGGAATTTCTGGTCAACTATTTTTTTACTCTATATTTGTGTAAAATACGTATTATTGTTTTCAAGTTATTGTTTCCAATACATATTATTTAAAATGATGCAATTTAAAAAAAAAAAAAGAAGATACGATGAAACATGATTATGAATGAAGAAATGCGCACGATCATAATAACATCATACCTATATTTAGATAATTACAGAGATGTATTTATAATTACAACAAAAACAATTATATTTTATAAAATTAATATCCTTTTGAATACGCAAAAATTCGGACAGAGCGCGAAGTTTGTGAAAAAAAAAAAACAATAATAAAGTCATCAATCAATCTGATGATTGTTTTATGATTAGTCTCACATGTGTGATGGTATTGTAAAAAATATATGTATAATTGAAATTTGTATCCGTGTTTAGATAGCATTATATCCACACAGATATATCATGTTACTGATATACCTAGTAATACCAGTTTAATAAGCACACACACACACACACACACACACACACACACACACACACACACACACAAAAGAGTGAAAATATATACACATATTTCTTAATTTTTTTTATTTTATTTGTGTGCTTCATTCATTCACCACGTGTATAATACACGATGTCTACCAATCACATAGTTATAACTTTTTTAAAATAATAACAATGATTTATTTATTTTACCAGAGGGAGACTTTGTACAAAAGTCGTTTGTTTGGGTACCTCTGTCTCATACGTGTTTCTACCGTGAAACAGTTGTTTGCATGGCTGTGTTTCGATTTGAAGGGTGGGATATGCCAGTAAATTTACAGAGTACAAAGGAATAATGTCTAAGTCCTCAGGTGGTATCATGGGCGAAACAGTTTACTCTGTTATATCCATGGTACTGCTCATGTCTATAGGCGACGGTTACCACTTTCAATCAGGTGGGCCGTCAGCTTGATTGCCATTCTAAGTTGTATAAAAAAATATTCCTTATTGCACAATGAAATTAGTACAATTGCTGGCTTAATCTTATATCATACTCTATTTATTTATTTATTTTTATTTCATCTCATTGTTTTTCCACTGTCATCATTTCTTGTAATTGTTTATATATATAATAAGGTTACTATTGTAATTTTTTGGAGGAAACAGTAAAGGGTATCTTCTATTTATCTATCTCTACAAATTCTCATTTATGTCTGTTACAATTTTACAGGGATAACTAAATATAGGTTACAATTAGCAAGTACAGAGTAACAGAGGGATTATGAGAGCTAAAGGTCTATGGCATGGTGGTCATGGCATTCTCGAAAACTTATCAGATCAATGGAAAACTACCTAGGTATATTTTAATATTTTGCTCCACGAAAAAATACACTAATACTGATAAAATCAGAAAATACATTTGTTTATATCTTATTCTAATAATTTTAAAACTATGTTTTTTACAACACAGAGGGTAAACTAACATGCGGCTCACCTAATGGTAAGTGACTACCGTCGCCCATGATCACCCGCAACACCAAAAGCATTGCAGGTGTACTGTCGGCCTTTTAGAAAGGAATATGCTCTTTTCTTAAAGGTTATGTTGTCGTATCGATTCGGAAATACTGCTGCTGGAAGTTAATTCCAAAGAGTGGTTGTGCGTGGAAGAAAGTGCCTTGAAAAACGCACGGTGGAGGACCGCCAGTTTATAGTTTGTATTCGAAGCTACCAAAACACTTCCTCATTTTTCCAACATAATTTCGATATTGATAGTAAATGTAACTTAGAAAGAGATCCATTATGTTTATCTCTCTTGTAATAAAAAACATATGGGAAACAACACTCATAAATGTTCATTTGTTCGTTAATTGCGTCCTTATGTAAAATAATTGCAAACCTATTTATGTTGTTGGAATATGGAGATGCGTTGCAGTAGGTAATTTACTTTATTTCGAGGTTAGTTTGATTATTTCTGACAAGAGAAGTTATTTTTATTTATATATCATTATAGTTAAAAAGACAATCTAGCTGACAATTCTAGTAATAGGAAGTAACTATTATCGCCTATGAACAATTGGAAAAAGAGAGAAGCTACAAATTCACTGGTAAGTTTTTAAAAAATTGTAGACGCGACATTTGAAAAACCTCATGTATATGCAGGGAAAAATATTGAAATATATATATATATATATATATATATATATTTCCCTGCAATCAAATAAACTAGTTTACTTTTAAATCAACATATTTTATTTAAATCTACTGTAAAGTCCAGATAGTTGTTATCTCCTGAGAAGAATCCGCAAGAAACTAAACATATATATGTACCTATATAATATACTTATCACTATTATTTATATACATATATGAAACCTGTGATCCTTATACAGTCGAACTTTTGAATGTATTTCATAGATATTCAAATATTTTGCTTTATCCGATCCCAAAGAATAAAAATAGCACCTGCGTTCCTTCTCTTCCTACAATTCGAATACGAGAACTATCTTAAAATAAATACTCTTTTTATTTATCAAAAAAATGTTATCATTTGACATATATCAATTTATTCTCAGTCAATATTTAAAATTACAAGTTTCAATACAAATTTATCGTGGAACAATAAAGCATATAGAAAAACGCCCAATTAAACCTGCGCCCAATAAATCTACCATTGACAACACAAAAACGAGGTAAGGTATATCTTATATCGGAGGTCATTAAGTCAAACAATAAGCATGCAGGTAGCTGTACCTCTAAGAACTGGACACATATTTTGTTCTTTACATTACACATTTTAATATTTAAATTAATATATATTAAAAAACAAAAACAATAATAAGTTATTAGTTTAGAATTACTTTGAAAAGGTAGAATTTTCTGTCTCAGGTTGAGATGAGTTGGGAACAGATGATCCTATTACTATGTTATAAATTAAAAGTTTGTAAAGATGGTAGGATGCACATTTGTTACTCTTTAACGCCAAAATTACTCTAAGGATTTGAATGAAATTTGGTACACGGGTAGTTTATATCCCAATTTAGCACATAGGCATACTTTATATACTAATTCAAACAGGGGAAACCGCGGGATATGACTAGTATTATAAAAATAATAAACACATATATACATTTTGAGTTATATATAAATTTGTGCATGTGTACTATCACCGAATTTCGACATGTTTCAGCTTGGTATACCTACATTACTATTTAAGATTAATTTTAAATATTTTTTATATTATTTTATTGAAGTCAATTATAACTAAAAATCTTAGATTATATAGATAGAGTATCAAGTCTCAAAAACGCGTTAACTTTTTGTCAGCTAATTGTCAAATTAACTGACTCGTTTTTTTAATCAGTGTTCTACGAGTATATACTTGCGTATATGCGTAATTACCTTGACATATCTATATTTAATTATATATTAATTAAAATTAATTTTTACGCATTAAAATAAAGCAAAAATTATAAAACAAATTAAGAATAGAAGTGATAAAAGAAACACTTATAACAATTTATCACGCAAAATTGTATGAAAAAGTAGACCCGCTTTTCTCGAAACATTTGTATGGAGACATTCTATCTACCATATATAATCTAAACTAATAATATTTAATTACGAACAGATCTTTGTTAAATGTACTTTGATTATCGTTAACATTTTAAAAGCCTGTTTTTAATGACCCTTATAATTTATACCCTCAATTATACTACGTCATATTGTATTGTTCCTCTATTTTTCAAATTTCATTCACAATGACCTTAACATTAATTATAGTTGTTATTAACTTACCGTAGCGGCGAACAGTGTCACAATACTCAGCATCTTGGTTTATCTGTCGCACCAAATTCTCACACTTTAGTATAACAAACGCACGCGGCGCGTGCGCATCTCCTATATACCTTCAAAGCCTACTATGACATCATACCCCGCACCCCGCCCAAACCCGTTTCGAAACTCATCTTCACGTGTCTTGACCTTTGCTTCCGATACACAGCTGTTTAACTTGTCAATTCACCAACAGAATTGTTAGGAAGTAGCAATGGATATTGAATAATTATTTGGCGCAGTATTTGTTATTCCTATTGACAATAGCAGACAATAAGTCAATGTCAATTTGTCTACATTTCGTCTGATATGGATGTTACAGAAATAATATTGTTATAACATGAAAGATATCCAATCTTTCAGGAGGCAACACCTGCGTTCTCTGTACATATATACATACATATCTGTCACGCCTGTCTCCCATTAGGGTAGGCAAAAACAATGGAACACCAAATGCTTCGATTCAAACAAACCTCTTTCGCTTCTTCCACATTCATCGATCTTTTCATACACGCTCGCTGGTTAAGGGTACATTTAAAAACCCATATTAATTTTTTCACTTATTTCACTAAAATATGTATAGATAAAAGAAAAATACATTAACATACTAAATAAATGTAATTGTTTAAAATTTTCTATAGAGAGAAGAGGTTCCTATTGTACTGCACCAAATTGGAAAATACTCACCTAATTCCCTTAATATTACAATGGGCGTCCTAGTATAATCTGTATTGTTCATACTACTGCTCACATCTATAACCCGTCAACTTATTTACCATTCACAATATTATAAATTTCCTTATTGATTCTATAAATATGAAAATGTGTTTGTTAACTTATTAACTCATGGTGCCTCAATGGCTTAAACAAACGCCAATAAATTTGGCATACACTTAATATTTGGGATGATAAAAGATACAGTTGCTGAATGGACCCAGCATAGAATAAGCCACCCCTTCCTTTTCCGTGGGTGTCGTAAGAGGCGATTAATGGAGGACAAAGGATGGGCAGCAGTTAAGCTGCAGCTTAACCGCAGTTAAGCAGCAGTTTAACTGCGATTGCCAATTAGCTTGCCAAACGTGGCAGCTACTGGCAATAGCTGCCAAGGCGGAGACTTATGTTCAGCAGTGGACAGTTAAAGGCTGATGAAAAGACCCCAGGCTACTTTTTATCAATTAGTGAGGCCGATTCTAAGACGTCATTTCTCAAAATGTATTCTTTTAATTTGATAGTTTCATAAACTAAATGTATAATAATTTTGACTATAAATCTATTTAAGAAATTTAGTTTTTTTTTTTGATGGATGAAAATGGTATGGTAACCCCGTCTGCGCTAACGTGATACGCTGGCGGAGCACCAGTGAAGGGTGATAGATGAGAATGAAAACAGGCCAGTTAGCCCATCATGATGAATTCATCAGGAATTAACCATGATAGTTTCCAGGGGGAACCGCGAGGAGGTCGACCTGGTTGGGTATATTGCTAGCAATGGGATTCTCAGTCTCCATTACTAACAATCCCTTTCCCCTCAAGAAATTTAGTTCGTACTGCTCCTTAAAATAAAGATGTCGCTGTAATATCAAATTGAGAGTTTAATTTTTTAGATAAATTTAAAATTCTCGGTTTAGAGAAATGATGCTTCAGAATGGGTCCCAATAATACAATACGAGTATATTCTTGGTCACGTGAACGAAGTCGCGCGCAGAAAGTTGTATCTTATTATTTTCACCGTAATATAAAAATGCTCGTATTCGGCAATCAAAATACCCATATACAAACGAGTACATTTTACAAACCGCCTACAGTTCAAATTCCTTCGGGAATTTTGAACCATAAAGAAACCATAAACATAATAAAAAAAAAGTAAATTAACAAATCTCGATTTCGAAGAAATTATGTACTTTATAGGTTCTGACAAAATCAGAATATAAAACTGGCGATCCGCGAAACAGGACGAGGGAAAGGACGTGAACCTAAATTAAAAGTTAAAATTATCAATGATTAAAAGATAATGTAAGATGTATTTGCTTCACTTTCTTTTTTTACGGAAATAAACAATTTTGGCAATTAACAAATTTATGCTTTATTTACTTAATTAGTTTGTTTTATTATTAAAATTTGAAGAAATTTTATTACTTTTTAACTAATCACTTACTAGGTTTATCACTATGTTTTTTCTAATGATATATATTTTGGTTTATCGACATACTATATATAATCGTAGTAAAAACATATGAATTATATACTTGTAAATTTGAATCTAACATCTCATAAACAATAAAAAATCATAAACAAATTCATACGACGCGACGACCTCTTTGGTGTTTAATTTTTTTTAAGACAAATGGTTTCCTATTGGTAAAATTAAAATGGCCGCCGTTCTTAAGAGGTTAAAACTGGAGTCCCACTTTTTATTCTCGATAGTGATAACGTGATGTTAGAATAGAAAGAACTGGTGTAGCTAAAATCAAGAATTCAAGGTCAGAAACTAAAAGCGTTGTTGTTGGGTATTCTTTTTTTTTTTATACTTACCACAAGGGCGGTAAACAAGCATACGACCTAATCTTATAGTAAACGGTTATAACTGACCTGAACACCAAGAGTCTCACGTACGCGGTGCCGAATCCAACTTTTAAGAACTCCATACTGTAATAGTCTCTAGATACACTAAAATTATATATATAAAATTATATATATATATATGTATGTATGTCTGTATATATATAATTATTTATAATTTATGTAAAAAATATTTATTTAATTTCTGTCTTGCACTACTACTGCCCACTTACTACTTCCTATGCCACTGCGTTAGGTTGACTGGAAGAAATCTCTTTTAGAGATAAGTTCGCCTTTACTAACATTGTTATTAACTTATTGTTGTTACTGTATGTTTTAGTGCAAGAACTAAACTGACCTATCTTGATCAAATATATACATCAAGGGGGAGGGCATTGTTAGTAATATGAACTATCGGTCCCATTGCTAGCAATATACCCTACCAGATCGAACTCCACGTGGAAACCATCGTGCTGAATTCCAAATGAATTCATCGCGATGGACTGATCTGCCTTTTCATTCTCACCTATCACCACTCACTGATGTCCCGCCAACGAAAAGGGGTGATCCATTCTATGCCGGGACGATTAGGCAAGGTGTAGAATAGATGAGAATGAAAGCAGGTCTATTGGCCCATCGTGAAGAATTCTACAAGTATTAACGACAATAGTTTCCCGGGGGAACCGTGTAAAGGTCGACCTGAAGGTATATTGCAATGAAAATGTTAAACCTCTAAAAATCTCTTTTTGTATTCGAAGTTAGAAGGCAGTTTTAGATAAATGTAATCCAATTAGATAAGTATAGGTATACTTAATAAATCTATTAATTATAATAGGTAATGTATACTCATACCAGTTATTAGGGTTCAGTACCAAAATTTAAAAGGGAACCCTTATGGTATGTCTTCATCCGTCAGTCTGTATGTAACAGCGTGAACTCTAAATCAGCTGCTAAAACTATTGACGATTTAAAATTTTTGAATAGTTTTAGAGATTGTAAAATCATAGAAAATATATCTTATTAAAACTTATCTTTTTATAACTAAAAAATATATAACACGATGTAATATTGTTAAGAATGTTGAATATTGGCACAGTTTTACTAAAAAAAATTAAAAAAATATTTTCCACTCAACGACATCATCATCACCGTCCTCTTATAGGCCGTTATCTGAGGGGCTACCATGAAATGTTTTCCGAAATTTCGGAGCCGAACGAAACACAAATTTGATGTTAAAATTACATAATACTAACCGATTAAAAACATTAAAAATTATTATTATTTATAAAGTTTAGACTTTTATGGTAAGATTTATGACGAACGAAATGTTAAACTCCATTTACTGGGCCGTATTAGGTATGAACGAAAACACGAAATTGAGTCCGAAACTTCGGACTTTCATTTCATGGTAGGCCCTCTGTTCACTGCTGAACATAGATCTCCATAGACTGCCATAAGGAACATTTTCCAATTTTTACTTTTTTATACTACGTAATGTTTTACTTATAATAAATTAAGGTAATGTTCCACAACAAATTCGACTTCAATTATAATGTAGGATCGTAGGGTTCATCTTGTAAATATATTTAATCAATAATTAAATACATAAAATATTTTACAATAAAACAAATAAATTTTTGAATCGCCCAAGTCTACAAAACACTCTCTAGTCGCTGGCCCGTGCGCGGGATGCGCGCGCAGCCAACAATCACAAAGCGCCTGCGCGATTTGTGAGGACCCTGTATGCCTAAACTAGGTTTTACACGTGTGCTATAGGCATCAGTGCTCTCTTACTTTGTGAAACCAAGTTTAACATCAATCATCACTAGCAGAGCGAGACTTTGTACAAAAGTCGATTGCTTGGGTACCTCTGTCCCATTCGTGTTTCAATCGTGAAGCAGTTGTGTTTGCATAGCTGTGTTTCGGTTTAAAGAGTGGAATATGGCGTGAATTTACTGGGTACATAGGAATAACACCTGAGTTCTCAGGGAGGGTATCATGGGCGAAACAGTACACTCTGTTATGTCCACGGTACTGCTCATGTCTATAGGCGATTGTTACCACTTTCCATCAGGTGGGCCGTCAGCTTGTTTGCCATTCTAAGTAGTATAAAAAAAAATAGCATATACTTAATTAAATTATACACACACTTATTATATTGAAAATTTAAAAAAATACCGTTCTAAAACTTTTAATTTAAGTACAGAACCTTCGATATGCGTAATGAAATCACACTTGATCGGTTTTATAATATCAATTGCAAAGCGAATGGATTAGCATGACAGATTTACAAGAATCACTTAGTAATGTACAATGCATTCTTATATTTCTTGATTTTATTGTAGATAAAACTATTGTGCTTATACATTGTAAGTAGTTAGGTACTAATGCAAATGCAAATCTTTCTTGAAATATTTTCTATCTAAAATAAACAAACGGTGACGTCATCAAAATAGAATTGTAATGCATAATTTAAATTTTGTATTATGAGGGTTCCGTACCCAATAGGAGGATAAGAAAGCTGTAAACTTTACTGAACATAGGGCTCTCCCATAAAAGAAGGTTTTGCCAATAGTTGCCACGCTTGGCAGGCGGATTTGTAGTAGGCATAATTATTTATAGTTTGTAGTAGGCATAATTAGCAGGTTGGGGGAAGGAAGGATTATTAGTAATGGGGACTGGCGACCCCGTTGTTAACAATATATTCTACCAAGTAGACCTAAACGCTTCGAATTCGAATTCGTCACGATGGGCCACTTGACCTGCTCTCATCCTCACTTATCATCATGCACTGGTGCCCCGCCAGTGTAAACAGATGGCGTTGTCATTTCATTAAATCATTCATTAAAAAAAATATCAAGTTTTTTTTTGGCTCTGACTACAATCCCGTCAGATCTATTTCAAAGTTAACTAACGTAACAGAACTTCATGAAAAGGCAGCCAATTTTTGTTGACATCATCACAGGAACACACTCTAAACGGAGGAAAAGGGATTGTTAGTAATGGAGACTAAAAATCCCCTTGCTAGGCAATATACCCAACCAGGACACCCTCCACGCGGTACCCCCTGAATACTATCATGGTTAATTCCTGATGATATCATCATGATGGGCTAACTGGCCTGTTTTCATTCTCATCTATCACCCTTCACTGGTGCTCCGCCAGCGTATCCCGTTAGCGCAGGCGGGGTTACCATTCCATTTTCACCCATAAAAAAAACACACTCTAAACGAAATTAGTAACAAACCAAAACGTTCACTCAATGAATCGATTATTTATTTATACTACTGTTGCACATTAGCAGTTAGCGTTTTGGTAGGGAATTATGTATCTCATAACATTTGCATTAAGTTCTATTGAAAGAAACTATAAAAGCTTCCTTTCGCAAACGCTCAGATTGTAAAACATACCTGCTATAGTTTCCCTAGAGATATAGTCTGCATGAAGTTCTTCAGGCTATAATATTTCTTAACCCTTCTTTGCATAATGGCGGAAATTTCCATCATAACATTGAATGCCCAAAAATTATATAAAAGAACAAGTCCACTTTAAGTTGATCGTGTCTGGACACCTTTTTAATGTCTATTGCAGAAAAAAAAACATAGCTGTTAAATTTATTTTTTTAATAATTTTTCTTTGAATTTTGAACATGAATTATATCACCTTGATTTATTTTACCAATAAAAAAATCATGCAAAGAAGGGTTAAGGACCTGCCTGGCATTACAGGCGTCCATATGCTATGATAACCCCATTTATTAGACAGGCCGTATGCTTACTTGCCATTATAGTAGTATAAAAAAAGGTCGTCTCTAAGTTGAAGGTTTTTGTCTTAACGTAAGGATCTCTAAAGAAGAAGTCTCCGGAATATCCGGCTATCTGTACCTACAGTTGATACCGTGGTTGATATGCATGCAAATTATATTCCATGATAAGTTGATGCTACAGCTTGTCTGTGATTACGGACAAGAAAGTTCAAGGCTGAGATAGATCGTGTTGTAGCGGTCAGAGCTGCGCTTGCGCACCAACCTGTTGTTTATTGTTGATTCCATATTCAATAATTTAAAATTGTGTTCCACAAAAGTAACCAAGTTTAATTGCGGCATTTATTATTATTATTATTCAAAAACTATTAAAATTTAGTAATTTATCAGTCTGTTTGTAGCAGATTATTGTTAAGAGACAGGATAAAATTAATAACTTTTTACTTACAAAAAACTAACTTCAAACGTGGCAAACCCAGTCATTTTAATTTAAAAACTAAACTCTTAAACCGATTTTAATAAAATTTCTATTGGACCAATCTGTAAATATTGTCTTTCAGATAAAAAAGTATTTTCCAAGTCGGTTTATAACTGACGGAGTTATAAAAAAAAATCGAATTAAGAACCTTTTCTTTTTTAAGTCGGTTAAAAGCATAACACCCGTAACCGAGTAAATATTTATAGGTAGGTGCGATGTTTGATGTAAATGCAGAACTTAAGTAGTGTTTTTTGTGTTCACAATAAAATCACAAAAAATATAAACTGAGCTAAACAATTTTGGAATATGATTAATACTTTATTAGTAAATGATTCATCATAAAAATGTAGGATATTATCGATTATTCGACTATTTGATTTTTTTTTGCGTGTATATGTTAAGCGATATGTTTGTTAACTCTAAACTGATTTCTATATTTTTTTTTAATCGAAAGGGTTTCATCATACTTTTTTCAGATTAAAGTATTTTTTTTTATTAATAGAAAAAAAAATGAACTAGTACTTAACTAATCTATCTACTGTACCAGTACTAGTCCTGCTTGATAGGCGGATTGACAACCGTAGTTAGGCTTTAGAAAAAAATAAATAATTTACTAGTACAAAATATAAAACAAAACAATACAAAATACAAAATTAAAAAAAAAATTAAAAAAATACAAAATATCTACTTTCCCAATAGTTGCCGTGCTTGATAGGCGGATTGACAAACGTAGTTAGGCTTTGGTGACGTTTTAAGAGGGATGCTGCTGCCCATTCCTCGATCATTTAATTTCTTAGTCGCCTCTTACGACTCCCATGGGAAAGGACAGGGTGGCCCATTCTATGCCGAGACCATACGGCTTATTTATGCATTGTATGTTATTCTTATAACATATCCAGTTATGCAAATATTCTTTAAAAGTTAATCTTGCAACATGAATGATGCATCAAAGAGTTGAAGGAAGCGTCTGCTCTACACGTCTTACTTCATTGGATACCTACATAGTTTCAATTCTATTTGTTATGCTGATTTTAAAAGTATTATGCAATTTAATAAAAATAAGTTAAATATCTTTTTCAACCGGCTTCAAAAACGACGTTTTGACGTTCCATTGTTTCTGCCTACCCTAATGGATGCACTAGACTACCTGCTAATTAATTGTGTTCTCTCTAATTACACTCAGTTGGCTTGAAGAGATCTCTTTTATAAGACCTCCCTTGCTAACAAGTTGTTAAACTAATCATTATATGTATTGGTATTATGTATGTATATATATTTCATTTTTTTTTTAAATCAGTTCAATATTTTTGTTTTTAAATCAATACAACGGGACTTGATACGATAGAATCGGTGTTTTTTTTTTGTGTAACAAAACCTTAAATTAAAATCATCTTTTTTACTAACTGACTTTGTCTTACTAACTAACTTAACCGCAGCTTTGTCTGCATAACCAAAATATATTAATTGGCCGAGATGAAAAGTAATTCTATGTATAGTATAATTATGTTACCTCTTTTATATATTTCGCTTTTTTTATATGTATTCTTTTATTTTTATTTTTTTGAGTATTTACCAAAATCTGTTTTTATTTGTGTGCTGTAAGTAATGCAAATAAATTTTATATCTATCTATCTAACTATACCATTTATAATCCCAAATAATAGATACACCAAGTATTATATGGAACGGTTGAGCCATTAAGACGCCAAGCGGTAACAAACAAACAAACTCACTTTCACATTTAAAATATTAAGAATTCAAAATTCTTTATCACCTTTAATAGCCATCTAATACAACACAAGCCCACCGGGACATAAAAACCGTTTGTACGCTAGATATCGTGTACGTAGAGAATCGATAATTGCCCCCTCGGGCAACGTCGAGATCGGGTTCCGATTGTTACTCCACACTCAGGTATGATCATGCACGTTACATAACACCAGCAATGTGCTATCGACTCAACTTATCAATAATCAGATCTCATTGATAGTTTAAATGGAGAATTTTGGGTTGCAACTAGTCGGTCATTTGAATAAATAGCTGTTCTAACTATAAATTAACTTCTGCCAATTATATTTTAATTTATTAATATTTTTTTTTTACTAATTAAAAGACCAAATCAAATTACCAGAGGGAGACTTTGTACAAAAGTCGTTGAGCAGTTGTGTTTGCATGGCTGTGTTTCGGTTTGAAGGGTGGGATATGGCGTGAATTTATTTTAGGTACAGAGGAATAACATCTGAGTTCTCAGAAATGGCAACGCATAGGGGGTATCATGGGCGAAACATTATACTATATTATGTCCATGGTACTGCTCATGTATATAGGCGACGGTTGCCACTTTACATCAGGTGGGCCGTCAGCTTGTTTGCCATTCTAAGTTGTATAAAAAAAATTACAGGGTACAGCGGAATAACACCTGAGTCCTCAGGAATGGCAACGATGGGGGGTATCATGGGCAAAACAGTATACTCTGTTATGTCCATGGTACTGCTCATGTCTATAGGCGACGGTTACCACTTTCCATCAGGTGGGCCGTCAGCTTGTTTGCCATTCTAAGTTGTATAAAAAAAATTACAGGGTACAGAGGAATAACACCTGAGTCCTTAGGAATGGCAACGATGGGAGGTATCATGGGCAAAACAGTATACTCTGTTATGTCCATGGTACTGCTCATGTCTATAGGCGACGGTTACCACTTTCCATCAGGTGGGCCGTCAGCTTGTTTGCCATTCTAAGTTGTATAAAAAAAATCGTCTTTTGTACAAAGTCTCCCTCTGGGTTTATGGGTGAAACAGTATACTGTCATGTCCATGGATGACGGTTACCACTTTCCATCAGGTGGGCCGTGAACTTGTTTGCAATTTTAATTGCATAAAAAAGGTCAATTCAATAATTAATACATTATATAATTAGTATTCTTAACTTGAAAAGTGTATAAAATACCTGTAATTTTAAAAAATTGTGCAGTCACAAAATGGGCGGCGGACAGTCGGTGCGGGCGACTCACTTCCAACGTCCGGCTGGAGGCGAGCCAAAAGAAGAAGACGCTGTGGAACATCACATCAGCATCTCTAATAAAATGGTCAGTATATTAGATTGACCTATCATCATTCGATGATGTGCATCATATTCTATTAGAGTGTCGTATTAACATGAAAGAAAGAGTGTTTCAACCCTGAAGCAGTTGTGTTTGCATGGCTGTGTTTCGGTTTGAAGGGTGGGATATGGCGTAAATTTACAGAGTACAGAGAAATAACATCTGAGTCCTCAGGAATGGCAACGCATGGGGGATTTCATGGGCGAAACAGTACACTCTGTTATTTCCATGGTAATGCTCATGTCTATATGGTTACCACTTTCCATCAGGTGGGCCGTTAGCTTGTTTGCCATTCTAAGTTGTATAAAAAAAAATCTATAATAGCTGAACCTAAACCAGAAAATTTTTAACATCTCTGTAAATTATTGATGCCCATTAATTCTAAAATAATAACAAAAAAAATCATCAATTTCATCATACCAGTTGTCCACGGATGGGCATAGGCCTCCCCCGTAAGCCGAGATGTGCCAATAGTTACAACACTTGGCAGGCGAGTTGGCATAGCCTTTCATTATCATCAGATCAGCTGTTAACTGTCCACTGCTGAACATGAGCCTTCTCTTAAGTTTTCTCAGTAGTTGCCACTCTTGGCAGGCAGATGGGCAACCGCAGTTAGACTTTGGAGATGTTTTAAAAGGGACGCTGCTGCCCATCCCTCGCCCTCCCTTAGTCGCCTCTTACGACACCCACAGGAAAGGAAGCGGTAGCCTATTCTATGCCGGGAGTGCACGGCCTACATTTTCATAGATTTTACCAGAGGGAAACTTTGTACAAAAGTCGATTGCTTGGGCACCTCTGCCCCATTCGTGTTTCAACCGTGAAGCAGTTGTTTGCATGGCTGTGTTTCAGTTTGAAGGGTGGGATATGGCGTGAATTTACTGGGTACAGAGGAATAACACCTGAGTCCTCAGGAATGGCAACGCATGGGGGGTATCATGGGCGAAACAGTATACTCTGTTATGTTCATGGTACTGCTCATGTCTATAGGCGACGATTACCACTTTCCATCAGGTGGACCGTCAGTTTGTTTGCCATTCTAAGTTGTATAAAAAAAAAATACCACTATCACAGATAATATAATACTATACTAGTATGTTCGAAGTGAATTGTTTGTTTCAATTTCAATTAACATTCACCGTACGCGTCTACGGAACTTTTATAGTAATTCTTACCGCAATTGTGGTCTTGCAACCAGAATAATCATCCAACGGGACTTCAAGATGAACTACTTGATGCTCGCAACGTTGCTGCTGAATGCACAAGTTGCAAATAAATCGCTCTCCGTTCCTATCTAATGGTTAGCTGGCAGAGATTGTCATTAGGCATTTACTTAGTCAACTGTACATGTTTTATTGTACAATAAAGAATCCTTACTAATATTATAAATGTAAAACTAATCACTAAGGAAGCAATCCAAAAACCAATCACAAAAAGGTGGCCTGCAAGAGATCGCTTTTAGCGATAAGGTCGCCCATTGTTTTCTCATTGTGATTATTTCTTGTAATTGTTTGTATCTATAATAAGTTTACTATTGTAATCTTTTGGAAGAAACAATAAAGAATATCTATCTATCTGTCTATCACTATGAAATATAGTATTAATGAATGAATGGATGAAAACTCTTTATTTTTTCCTTTAAAGATTGATACAGATTTTTTTTGATGGGTGAAAATGGTATGGTAACCCCGCCTGCGCTAACGGGATATGCTGGCGGAGCACTAGTCAAGGGTGATAGATGAGAATGAAAACAGGCCAGTTAGCCCATCATGATGAATTCATCAGGAATTAACCATGATAGTTTCCAGGGAGAACCGCGAGGAAGTCGACCTGGTTTGGGTATATTGCTAGCAATGGGATTCTCAGTCTCCATTACTAACAATCCCTTTCCCCCCAATTTGATACTGATTATTTATATTATATATTAATATAAAGATTTACAATATGTACACAAATAATCATTTTATTTTATACTTAATTATATAAAAGCAAAATAAAGAGGCAACAAGGGGCAGCCTCATCACTAATATAGCTATATTTTAAGATAGAAATTAAGCGTAACTGAAAAATAGTAAGACTATAACAGGGAGGAAAAAAGGACTAAAAATCATTTTCTACGCAGTATAAAGAATATAAATAAAAAATATACTTACTACATATATATATTCTATATATATATATATATATATATATATATATATATATATATATATATATATATATATATATATATATATATATATATATATATATATATATATATATATATATATATATATATATATATATATATATATATATATATATATATATATATATATATATATATATATATATAATATTGGAAACTAAGTAAACAATAACGAAATAAAAAAGTGTAGGTACAAGTTACACCATGGTTACAATGGGCCGATTGCAATAAGACTTTTTACGACGATTTTTTTGTCCAACTGCAATGTTTCCGTATAAGTTGTTTATGACTTCTCATTTGTTATTAATTACAAAGATTTCCCACTATATTTTATGTCAAAAACGCCAGAATTCTCACAATGGTAGTTCGCGACGTTTTTGAACAATGACAAATTTTCAAGTTTTTTAGTGTGACACACGTTTTATTAATATAGAAGTATTTCAAAGGAAAAAAATTGTGAATTAAAAACTTTGTGGTTTTACCACTTTGGTTAAAGGAAGGAAATATATTTATTTATTTAAAGGAACACCAACAGCATATTGCATTATAACATATAGGTATAACAAACATTAAATATAATACAATATTAATGCACATGCCTATTATAAGTATTCACAGCATTTATTTTAACATAGTTATACAGTGCGAGAAAATGAAGTAACAATTATAATGAATATTTGTAGTTAATAACACTTAACTACAAATATTTTAAAAGTTGCGTTATTAGTTATAGAAATAAACATGTAACCTGAGTTGTGAGCAATATCAGTAAATACGATTATAAGTGAATTCAATTAAAAAATATTAAAAAAAATACATATATTATGATAATTAGAGTTACTTTTTATTAGATTATTGTACAAAGTGATTCAGCAACATACGTAATATAAAACCAAATACCTGAAAGACCTCGCATAATAGTGCTCCATTGTATTTTTTTTATGGTAGATATACTCGTAAATGGAATTATAGAGTCGCCTAAGCTATAAATATACACTGGTAAATTACAAATGCAGGACGATTGGTAAAAATAAAATCAAATAAGTTGACAAATTATAAGAAATTGACCACGATGGTTTCCAAAAGGGGTTGCATGGAGATCGACCTATGGGAATGTTGGGCAAAGGGGCTGCTAGCTCACATTACTAAAAATCCCTTTCCCCCCCTTATTAGACTAGATTGCAGTTTACTAGACTCATTAATAATATGAATTGGTAGTTAAGTCTTTTCTAATTGTATAATTGTTAGTTAGTGTACATTGACGCTTATCTGTGAGAGCTGTATACACCTTTAATTGATGTGTTCATATGGTCTTAAGCTTGGTAGTGAGGTGTAAGATTTTTTTTGTTCAAACTTAGATTTAAGCATTTTTAATAGTAGTTTTTCTCTTTTACTTACTAATAACATTGTATATTGTCTGCTTAATTATTGTGAGCATATTGTTGGTGTGTCTTTTATAAATAAATAAATAAATAAATTAGACTGCTTTTTTTTATGAGTGAAAATGAAATGGTAACTCCGTATGCGTTATCAGTATACGTCGATGAAGCATCAGTTTTTTTTTTTTTTTAATCATTTTACCAATCATGACAAATACATCAATTAAATTACTCACGATAGTTTCCAAGGAGAACCGCGTGAAGGTGACCTATTTCTTTTAATGTATGATAATGGAATTCTAACCCCGCATGCGCTATCGATATACACTAGCAGGGCATTAGTAAGGGATGACAGGTGAGGATGAAGGCAGGTCAGTTAGCCCATCATGACAAATTCAACAATAAACCAATCACGATGGTCTCCAGGGGGAATCGTGAGGTCGACCTGGTAACGTTTATTGCTAGCAATGGGGTTGCTATGATAAGGGGATCATTAACAATGCCTCCGCCCCCAGGTAACCTTTCCCCTCTACCCTCTACATCCCCAGGTGGAGAGATTAGTGGAAGACGCGACGTTAGCAGGGGGCGCGGCGGCAGCAGTAGCGAACACTGCCACAGCACCTCGAGAGGACTACAAAGAGAAGATAAACATGGAGAAACTGAAATGCTTAGACGAGAACCACTCGGAGAGAATGGGGTCAGTCTTCTTTAATAGACTATAATAGATAAAAGTCGATTGCTTGGGTACCTCTGTCTCATTCGTGTTTCAACCGTGAAGCAGTCGTGTTTGCATGGCTGTGTTTCGGTTTGAAGAGTGGGCTATGGCGTGAATTTACAAGGTACAGAGGAATAACACCCGAGTCCTCAGGAATGGCAACGCATGGGAGGTATCATGGGCGAAACAGTATACTCTGTTATGTGCATGGTACTGCTCATGTCTTTATTTTTCATTTTGAAGACACTCAAAGATTTTTTTTATAATAAAGAAACAAGGGGGGAAAGGGATTATTAGTAATGGAGACTGAGAATCCTATTGCTAGCAATATACCCAACCAGGTCGACCTCCTCGCGGTTCTCCCTGGAAACTATCATGGTTAATTCCTGATGAATTCATCATGATGGGCTAACTGGACTGTTTTCATTCTCATCTATCACCCTTCACTGGTGCTCTGCCAGCGTATCCCGTTAGCGCAGGTTACCATTCCATTTTCACCCATCAAAAAAAAAAAAAATAAAGAAACAAACAAGTAAGCGATCCACCTAATAGAAAGTGGTAACCATTGTCTATAGACATGAACAGCATTATAAATATCACAGAATATTCTTTGAAGCCCATGATATCTATTGCCAATCCTGTCACGATTGCCTTATATTAATATTGATATAAACACGACCTTAAACAAGTTCAAATCCACTTTGTATAGATTCTTTAGTTTAATTTAATCAACTTAATAACAGCATGGCGTGTATCATTTCACATATGTATGTATAGATTATTAGTGTACAAATCTTTCAAATCCAAAGTATTGCTATAGTCTATTTATTATAACTATATCAAGTATTGTAATTTATATATATATATATAAAGAAATCTAGTTAGAATATAAACCTAATTTGAATTTTGTATAATTCCAATTAGATTTCGGGAAAATCAGGCTTTTTCAAACCTATACGCTAAAAATACCTAGTCTGTGTAAAGTCCGCTCACGGGACGTCACAGATGTGGATTTTCCACCATTTTGCATGACACAGTTGAAAGGATAAGAACTACTGAGTTTATGCCTAGATGGCGCTCTGTATAGTTCAAATAAAAAAGTCCAATATACTATTAACGTTGCTCGAAATTTTTTTTTATTTTTTATACAACATCAGGCGTTAGAACATTTTCAGATTGACAGTGGAGGACTTGAACGCTACAGCGGCAAGAATAGAACTGCGAACTGCTAACATGGGGGGCGTGGATCCAGTCTGTGCCGATAGCAAGCACCAAGTAATAGAGTGTTATAAAAATGAATCGCCCGCTGACGTCATCAAATGTTGGGATACTGTTGGTAAATATCAACATCTGGGGGTACAGGATTACTAGTAACAGGGTCTAAAAGCTTCTTTGCCTATTCGATCGACCTCCACGCGGAGTCCCCTGGAAAACATCATGGTAATTTTATAGGCTGTTTTTTTTAATGTGAGAAAATGGATTGGTAACCCTGATTGCGCTAACGGTATACAATGACAGATGAAGCCAGGTCACTCGGTTCATCCTGAATAATTCGACAAGAATTAACTGCGATGGTTTCCAAGGATAACCGTGTGGAGGTCGACCTAATAGGGTCTATTGCTAGCAATGAGGTTATTAGAACACTACTAACAATCCCTTTCCTCCCTATCAATGGGACTAGTAGTTCGCATTACTAACAATGCCTTCCCCTCTTTAGAGACAGGTTAGAGATATGGGGCTTCGAAACGGCACGGTGAGCGAAACTGCTCGAATCAGTGTTGTCAACATTATATTATAATTATGATATTTATTATTATCCAGGTGCGTTTACAAAATGCGTTCAAGATGCGGCCAGTACGCGACTGCGGGTGCGCACCCAGAAGGATGCTCGCGAGCATGCTCGGCGGACGCGACACGTCGCGCACGCTAGGCAGCACGCGCTCAGGGATCTGGGGCCACCGCCGACAGACGAGGCTGTACCAACTTAGCCGAGAATAGATGTAGACACCACGCCGGCATACACAGACCACCAGTGTATGCCGGCTGAAGAACCCAGCGACCCGGAGGTCGTCGCCTCCGGAGTTGAAGCCGGGGTAGAGGGGTATACCCCGAGCCCCCTACCTCGCCCGCCCACACAACATCGGGCGGCCAGAGACGACCTTGTTGTTGTTATTTGAATATTTATTTATTTATATATACATATTTTTGATAAGCTTCACAGATTTACCAATGCACTCAGCAAAAACTATGTATGTATGTATAATAAAAAATCTAATTAAGCTTCAAAAAATAAATATTAAAAATGCATTTATTTATTTATTTCTGCGTAATTTGTGACCGCTCTACGTAACTCTGTGGCAGTACAGTGAAAAAAGTCCAGTTCGGAACTCGCTACTACCTCATTGAGCAAACGTAGCGCCCTCGTGAGTGGCGCCTGATCAGCATGGAATGTACTGCTGCGTGGTAGGGCAAATATTCTGTGATTAAAGTCACGCTTGCTAAGGTCTGGAACAGACATTTACCAAAGGGAGACTTTGTACAAAAGTCGATTGCTTGGGTACCTCTGTCCCATTCGTGTTTCAACCGTGAAGTAGTTGTGTTTGCATGGCTGTGTTTCGGTTTGAAGGGTGGGATATGGCGTGAAATTACTGGGAACAGAGGAATAACACCCGAGTCCTCAGGAATGGCAATGCATGGCGGGTATCATGGGCGAAACAGTATGCTCTGTTATGTCCACGGTACTGCTCATGTCTATAGGCGATTGTTACCACTTTCCATCAGGTGGGCCGTCAGCTTGTTTGCCATTCTAAGTTGTATAAAAAAAAAATTGGCCCAATAAAAAATATGTTGTATATCGGTTGTCCAATAAAATTGAAAAGGAGCACCCGATTGAAACGAATGGGATATCTGACTGGTATAGGCAATATAAAAATGGCTGACCATTTTTCTGCTATCAATTTCCAGATGTATCAAAATATATAGTTTTTTTTATTTATTATATTTTATTTTTATTCTTGTATTTCTACCATAATATGGTAGGAATACTAGAATGTAAAAAAAAATAGGTAAATAACAATATAGTCATACTAGTATCGTAATGAACTGGTTCTGAACTGAAACTGAAATGTTCATATTTCTGTATAAATATTTTTAATAAATATAAAGTTTTACCATAAATTAAAAAAAAAAAACAAATTAGAAAAATTAAAAAATAAAATTAAAATAAAAAAAAATAATAATTAAATTTTTATTTATTAATTAAATTAAAAACATTTATATCTATGTACATAATATTATTTACTTAAAATCATTATTTCTAATTAATTGAAGGACACTTTCTTTTTAACATCATCAACGGTCGGTTTGCTTTTGACTTGCAGTCTGGCCACTGCAGTATCTTCCTTATCATCTTGGACATTAGGTTCAGGTGGGGAGCTGATAGCTTGTTTAGCTCCGTTGGCCGTCAGCACGGCGAGTTTCCTACGCAGTTCCCGTACTTGCGCTGCGCTCGCGAGCTGCGCAGCGCCGCGGGACAACACTTCCTCGCGTAGCTGTTCACATTCTGATCTGTAAATTATAATGAAGGTCGTGTCACACAAAAAATCGATTTGAATTGTAACAAAATGAGTTATTTTTAATTAAAAAGTACTGAAGCCATTTTAATCGTATATTTATAGTTGTTTAAAAAAAAAATCATAATGTAGTAACTTTACTGCCATATCCCATATCATCATTATAATCATTTTTTTACCTTTATCCTAACAATTTGTATGACTGTAACTACAAATAAACTGTAATTTTTCTCATATTGGGTTTGCTGGAAGAAATCTCTATTGGAGATAAGCTCGCCTTTGTGCACTATTATGTTTGTTTTTACATATCAATAACCTTTTGTGTACAATAAAGAATAAATAAACAAATTTGAGGTCGACGTAATATGTTTTTCTCTTCTATTCTTCTCTATTCGCAGTCCGCACTCACTCTCATTCTGGCCATACCAGATGGCTTTGTACAAAAGTCGTTTGCTTGAGCACCTCTGTTCCATTCGTGTTTCTACCGTGAAGCAGTTGTTTGCATGGATGTATTTCAATTTGAAGGATGAGATATGGCAGTAAAATTACAGGGTACAGAGGAATAACACCTGAGTCCTCAGGAATGGCAACGCATGGGGGATATCATGGATGAACCAGTATACTCTGTTATGTTCATGGTACTGCCTATGTCTATAAGCGACGTTTACCACTTTCCATCAGGTGGGACGTCAGCTTATTTGCCATAGGAAGTTGCATAAAAAATCTTTCACATACACTTTTTACTACCATATCTCATCTCAACCATCTATCAGTCTGTTATTATCTCAGCCATTATGTTCAGCAGTGAACAGTTAACAGATGTAATGATGAATTACTTTAAATGATCCAACACTCCCGGCAGCCATCCATTGGCGGTCGGTTCGCACAGCTTGCCGAACCATCTCGCCAGCTCCCTTCTCTGTTTCTCGCAAAGACCTTTTAGCTGCGTGATGCGCTCTTCATAACTATCTGTAACAAAACAAACAACATTTTAATAATAACATGTTAAGGACTAGGTTTTACCCGCAATCTACTTTGGATTTACACGAGTTATGTTTTCTATCATTTATCGATTTTCTTCCAAACTCGAATTAATAATGTTAATAGGATATACGTATATATTACAACAGCCATTATATGTCCACTGTTACATAGGCCTCCCTTATAAGGAGGGTTTTGTCAGTAGTTTCCACACTTGGTAAGCAAGTCTTTTTTTTAAAAGGGTGATAATAGAATGGTAACCCCACCCGCGATTAGGGGGGAAAAGGGATTGTTAGTAATGGAGACTAAGAATCCCATTGCTAGCAATATATCCAACCAGGTCGACCTCCTCGCGTTTCCCCCTGGAAACTATCATGATTAATTCCTGATGAATTCATCATGATGGGCTATCTGGCCTGTTTTCATCCTCATCTATCACCCTTCACTGGTGCCCCGCCAGCGTATCCCATTAGCGCAGGCGGGGTTACCACACCATTTTCATTCAATAAAAAAAAACCCGCCCGCGATATCGGTATACGCTGGCGGAGCACCAATGAGGGGTGCTAGGTGAAGATAAAAACAGTAAATTAGCCCATCATAAAGTATTCTACAAATCAGATCAGTTAGCCCATCGTGACGAATTTCACTACAATTAACCACGATGGTTTCCAGGGGGAAACACGTGGAGGTCGACCTGATGGGGTGTATTGCTAGCAATGAGTCAGTTAAACCGCATTACTAACAATCCCTTTTCCCCCCTGGTAAGCAGGTTATCAACCGTTAGGCTTTATGGACGCTGCTATCCATCCTTCAACTATTAAGTTTGCTTAATCACTGTTGAGGCAAAAAAGAACAGCCTAAATGTTCTTGTCTCTGAGAGAAAAAATAGATGTAAGCTTTATGGTTAATTGTCTTTAATTGGAGCTCTGTATTTGCTGTAAAAGATTTAAATGTCTAAGTATAGAGAAACAAATAATATTAGAAACATGTAAGAAAAGAAAGAAGTGATTATAAAGAAGTGTTTTCATTATTAAAATTACATATTATATTAAAACACTTATGGGAAAAGGGTGGCCCATTCTATGCCAGGACCAAACAGCATATACTACTACTGCTGCATCAAAATGTTACACAATTTTAAAGTATCTAAGTGGACAAAAAGACCACATAACTTGGTATTATTTAATGATTATTATTATTCACCTATAAGTTCTTTATCATAATGTGCTGATGCTCCAATCTGCTGTTCCCAAATAGTCTGCTTCTCGTGGAGTAACGTGTCCACCTCGGCCTGTTTATTTGCCAGCTCTCTTCTCAACTAGAATGATAATAATCAGTTTGAGATAAAAAAAATTATATGCAAACAGATAATAATAACAAGTATGTTTCATTCTGTATCTTTTACAAGAGAGGTAATTCTTAGTAATAGAAAGGGATTCTTAGTAATATGAAGTAACAGTCTCATTGCTAGCAATATATCCCGTCAGGTCTACATGGTTCCCCGGAAACCATCAACCTCCATATGGTTCCCCCTGGAAACCATTATGCTCAATTCCAGGAGTATTCATTACGATAAGCTAAGTGACCTGCCTTTTCATTCTCAACTATCATCCTTCACTGGTGCTTTACCAGTGTATACTATTTATGGAGGTGATGTTACCTTTCCATTATCATCCATTAAAAAAATTAATATTTAATAATTGATGTTTTAATTAGTTGGACCTTGTCTTTCCTAATTGAATTTTGCTTATGGCTATGATCCTTGATAGGTTAGTTAAACATTTTTGTCAACTATTGTCATTTTTGTCAAAAATTGTGGGGAATGTAACAGTCAGCTTGCCAATATTTTGCTAACCATACTAGAATCCAATTTATAGAAAAACAAGACAACAACCGTTACTGGAATTAATTTAGTTAAACATTAATGATGTTTCTTAACCAACTATAAAAAGGAGCATGTTCTGGTTTGATTGTATTTTTTGTTTTGTTTATTTGTTATATCATAACTTCGTTAGTTGTAAAACAATTTAAAAAACTATCTAAAAGGATATAGTTACAGACTGATCCCATAGAGTTTTGTTCAAAATCAGTTCAGTCGTTTAGATTTTAGATCAAAATAACTGGTGTTGACACAACTGAAGGTAATTTTGTTTTGTTTGACACAATCTTTAAATGTTATTACTAACGTTATTCAGAAATTTAAATTAATGAACAAAATTGTTAATTTTTATTCACTTTGAATCTAAGTAAGCTTAATTTTATATGAGAATGAAAACACATAATTATATAGACTTGAATGTGAGATGAGAACACAAGTTTTAACAAAAAAAAAATGTTATAATTACCCTTGAATTGGTCTGTTTCATTTGTATTAAGTTTTTAGCCATCTCCTGTCTTTTATCCTCCACCTCAGCAAATATTGAATTACCTTTAGCAGCTGAAATAAATTATGGGGAATTGAAATATTAACACAATGATAAAAAAATAAAAAAAAGGGTAAAAGAGGAAGGGGAAGACAGAGAAATAACTACATGGGACAGATATAGGAATGACTAGGTATCATGTCGTATAAAGAGGTCAAAAATATGGCCTGAAATAGAGCTGGCTGGAAGAGAATGAATTAGTTGCCCAACAAGAGGAAACTCTTAAATGAGAAGAGAAAGAAAATAATGTGAACCATAAGAAAATTAACATAAAATAACATATATATATATAACATATAAGCATATTACATAGCTCTTTTTGGGCACCTCTGTCCCATTCGTGTTTCTACCATGAAGCAAATATGTTTGCATGGCTGTGTTTCAGTTTGAAGGGTGAGATATAGTAGTGAATGTACAGGGTATAGAGGAATAACACCTTGGTCCTCGAGAATAGCAATGCATGGGGCTATCATGGGCTAAACAGTCTGTTATGTCTGTTACTGCTCATGTCTATAGGTGACAGTTACCACTTTCCATCAGGTGGACTGTCAGCTTATTTGCCATTCTAAGTTGCATAAAAAATGGCAGAATTACCATATCATTACCAGGGGGAGATGAGATTGTTAGGAATGGGAATTAGAAGCCCCATTACTAGTAATACATTGTGTCAGAGTGACCTACTTAAGGGTCCCCCTTTTTTTTTTTTTTAACAAGGGTGAAAATCTTCCAAAGAGACCCATCCGCCGGCGGGACAACGAATGGGTACTGTGGGATTTTTACCCACTAAAAACACCCCGGTATTCCTCACGGCGCCTACCCGCCGGTGACTGAGGCTCGCAACTAGCAGTCTTCACAGTCACCGGACTTAAGGGTCCCCCTGGAAAACATATTGCTCAATTCCAAGTGAATTCATCATGACGGGCTAACTGTCACCTAACATTTGTCACTAGTGCCCCATCAGCATATACCATTAGTGCAAGTGGGGTTACCATTTCATCTTCACCCATTAGAAAAAACCATTCCATTACTACCCATTTAAAAAAAAAAACACTTAAATAAGAACAAAACTACAAGCTTTACCATGTGGCTGTAAATCTTGGGCATCAGTATACTGATGCAGCATTGCCCTGACTTCAGCTAAATCAGCCAGCGCTGCCGCCTCGCGCTCTCCAGCGGCTTTTAACTCTTCACGGCGCAAATCTGCCGCTGCTTTCACCTCGGACATATCTGTCAACAACTCCTCAACTTTCATCCGCCACGACTCGATTTCAGCGCGTGCTTCGTCAAGCGCTGCTTTTGCTTCAGCCGCATCGGATAATGCAATTGTCACAGCTGCGCGTGCTTCATCCAACTCACTTGTATCCTTCACCGGACTTGATTTGAGCCTTTGATTAGCTATCGCCTGTTCCTCTTTTAAAAGACGAATGTCCGCTTCAAACTTTTTAACTTCAATCGCATGTTTATCTATTAACTCTGTCTTCTCTTCCCGTAATGATGAAATATCATCTTGCAGCGACGATATTCGCAAATTCAGTTCACTTCTTCGCTTTTCTTCGTCTGCCTGATGAGCATCCAATTCAGCGGTCAAATGACTTTGGACATCCAAAGCGGTCTGATAACTTCTTTTAATATCATGCAATTCTTGTTTTGTCGCTTCATAGCTGATAGATACTGCTTCAAATTGCTTTTTGAGGGAATAATAACGTTCAGTCAATTCGCTGTTCGTTATGTCTTCGATTTCAGTTAAGCCCGTTTTATTACTTATAGTTGAATAATCCATTATGACAGTCTTTATATTAATCTTATTACTTACATAAATCAGTAAAACAACAAAATAGTAAATTATAATAAGGGTTCAAAATTCGTATTCACGTAAAAAATATAAAGCTTTTCAAATTAACGAACTACTTGCTTAAGAAAATACAATAATGTCAACTTCTATTATTTGACAACTTAGATTAAGGATAAACAAGCCTATTTTAAAAATAATGCATGGATAAGGTATCTGTCAGCAGATTTTCACTACAAAAGCTTTTGGAATACTCAAGGTCTTTTTTTTGTTCTTTGTGATTATTTTTAATTTTACATAGAAGTCTAATTCAAAGAAAATTTTATAAATTGAAACAATCTTATGATAGATATGAGCTGTATAAGCAGTGCTTTTTGCCTTATCATTTAAACAAAAAAAACTAGTAACAAGTCAACAAAATCTTTACAAATCTACCAAAGAAATAAATCTATGCAACTAATCTTTACCACTAGAAGTATCCACACAAAAAAAATTTTATGTCATGCAATATCGTGCATGCATGATATTTTATAACTATTTGCAGTATATCTCTGTCCAAAATATTAGTATACATAGGTATCATAAAAGACTTTAGTCACTTAATAGTACAAAATATTTTTAATGCAAAAACTTGGTTGCATAGATTATATATAAAATTTTATCCTTTAAAGTGTCGTGTAGCCAATAATCAGTAGTACTTGTTCAATATCATTTCATTAATTTAATAAATAAATAAATTGTTTTTATTTACTTCTTTTTAACTAAATATAAATTGCTGTACCTTTATATTCTGTGATGTAAATAAACTAATACCACTAAGTTACTTTATTATTGTGCTTTATTACAGTAAAAAGTTAGAAGATCTTGACTTTCAATTTTTTACTATATTTCACTTTGCACCATGTCTTCACCACCTCCTACCAAACCCCCACGGGGTGTAAAACAAGGAAAAGAAACGGTATTATATCATTATCCTTCGTTTAATTTACATTTAACATTTTAATTTTTCTTTTTTAATACCGCAGATAATAATTAAGGCTATATAGAAACTGTTATCGTTGATATAAAAATAATTCGATTTTAGTTCCTTAATTTAAACACTCTTTAGCTTCTTCCACTTCTAAGGGTTCACTGACCCTTTAATTAAATAGGTAAATTTGGCTAAAGTCTTGTAGTTTAGAATTTTATAAAATTAGTTGAAAATTTCTATCAAAGATATCTCTATCTAGATTCTGTGAAATATTAATCAACCATGTTACTTTCCCTTATTATTAATTTCTTAAGTATTGAAGCTTATAATTTTAAATGTATATATTTTTAAGTTCTAAGTTTAGTAAGTAATAAATTGGGCACTTGTTTAATGAATCTCTGTATATATATTATTTCAGAGTGGTCTGTTAATGTCAGTCATTCGCACATTATCTGCGAGTGAAACAAATGAACAGCGAGAGAAAGAGAGAGCTAAATTGGAGAAAGAATATAAGAAGAGTGATGCTCGACTTGATGAATTGGTCGCTATACATGCACAAGAGATCATGGATGTTATGCAGGTCAGTTAAAATGTTTGTAAGTTGTATAATTATTGTATGTTATATATTTTACACCTATTTGTAAAAATTCATTAATCTATAATTAATGCAGTATTTATAATTTAATTTTAATAAAATTACTATTAAGCTGAGTATATTTACATATGCACAAGTACATACTAGTCTTAGCTGTACTCTTGTATGAAAATTGAGCCATACTTAGCTACAAATTCTCAATAAATAAATTATACAATAGGATTTGCTTTGTGTAACAATTGTTAATGCAAATTGCTGGAGGGAATAGACTACTAATATTATTCTCTCAGCATGAGAAGTTCACTAAAATTGGTGGATTATATAAAAGTAAATCCTGTTATAATTGGTATAAGGTGTTTTTTTTAATGGTTGATAATAGAATGGTAACTCTGCCTGCGCTATCGGTATACACTGTTGGGGTACCAGTGAAGGTGATGATGAAAGCAGATCAGTTAGTCCATCATGATAAATTTCACTAGAATTATTAATTAGGTGATTTCCAGGGAAAACCGCATGGAGGTCAACCTGATAGGGTGTATTTATTTATTTATTTTTAGGAAATTGTATAACTGAATTATAATCAATATATAGTCAAATTATATTTATGTTGAGTTGTGAATCCTTTTCATATTTGCATAATTACACAATCAGTTTTTATATATGCAAAAAAGAATATGTATATAATGATTACAAAGTTAAAAATTTTGATGAGACACCTTTTAGCTGAATTTATGATAACAAAATAAGAACAATATAAAGGGAAACAACATTAATAAAATAGTGAATTTAGTACAGTAGGGCGAGACTGAAAGAATTATTTTGCTACTTGCAACTTAATTGCATGTTGTATTGGTAGGAATAGATCAGTTAGACCCGATTACTAATAATTTGTTTCTCCTGGTCAGTAATAGTGGTGTTTTTTTTAATGGATGATAATGGAATGGTAACTCTGCCTGTGCTATTGGTATACGCTGGTGGGGTACCAGTGAGAGATGATAAGTGAGGATGAAAACAGGTCAGTTAACCCATCGTAACGAATGCAACAAGTATTAATCACGATGGTTTCCAAGGGGAACCGCGTGGAGGTTGTTCTGACGGGGCTCGCTAGCAATGGGAGCAGTAGGGAAGTGTCGAGTGATGGCGGGTGTGTGGCGCGCAGAAGTTCAGCGCGGTGGGCACGGCGCTGCGCGCGTGGGGCGCGGCGGGCGGCGGCGCGGCGGCGCGGCTGGCGGCGTGCGGCGCGCTGCTGCGCGTGCGCCGCGACGACCTGCGCCGCCTGTGGGCCGCCGCGCGCGCGCACCACCACGCGCTGCGCATGCTCACCGACATGTAACCACCGCCTCTACTCCTCTCACCCACCTCGCCAACATATCTTGTCATTCATCACGATAAATATTGTCCAACTGGTTCTCTGCCCAAAATACTTTTTTATTTTTTCTACAAAGCTTAAAATGGCAAACAAGCTGATGGCCCACCTGATGAAAAGTGATAACAGTCACCTATAGGCATGAACAGTACCATGGACATAGCAGAGTATATTGTTTCGCCATGTGTTGCCATTCCTGATGACTCAGGTATTTCTCTGTACCTTGTAAATTCACTGCCACATATCACCCTTCAAACCAAAACGCAGCCATGCAAACGTAACTACTTCACGTTAGAAACATGAATGAAGCAGAGGTGCCTAAGCAAACAACTTTTGTACAGTCTCCCTGTGCTATATACCAAATTTAATGATAATCGGTCGAACCATAGAGGCATAAAAAAGTAACAAACAAGCTCCCTTTAACATTTATCGTATTTATAAGTATACATTTTTATATTCTGTATAATTTTCTTGGCTACTAACAAAAAGATAAATATATGTTACATATGAACATTAAATTACGTTAAAATTGTATATCATTATCATGACATCAGCTGTGGTATATCAATTGCTAAATATATACTCCTACTATTGGAGGGTTTTGCCAATAGTTGTCATGGTTGGCAGGTAGATTGACAACTACAGTTAAATATGACTTTGTAGGCTGTGTATGCAATAGACTACTTCTTTCTTTCATATGGATGTCTTAAGAACCAACTAAGGAATTAGCAGCGTGCCTCTTCAAACATTACCAAAGCCTGTAATTAGGTTGTGTTTTACATAAATAAAATTGGCTTCAATTATGGCAGAACTGGTTATTTTGATTTAAAAACGAAAAGTACTGAACTGATTTTAATAAAAAAGTTCTATAGAATAAATTTGTAAGTGTAGTCTGTCAGATAAAAAGAAAAAAAAATTCGATTTACAAGTAACAAAGTTATAACGTAACAAACATAAATAAATACAACCGAAAATAATTTTCCAAATCGATTTACAACTCATGCAGTTATGAAGTAGTAAACTTAAAAGAAATGTAACCAAATTGGGAATCTCCTTTTTGAAGTCGACTAAAAATTAGAAATATGCATTAAAAATAAGAAGTTTCTTAAACGTGTGTGTATGTGTGTGTGTGCGCGTGCGCAGCGAACGCGTGGTGGTGTCAGAGCGAGTGGTCCGCGCGGCGGCGGCGGCGGGCCGCGTGCTGGCCGCCGCGCACGCGCTGCGCGCTGCATTGCACACGGCCGGCTCCACGCTCGCGCACGTGCACGCGCTGCACGCCACGCGCCAACATCTGGAGGTCACCGTCCACCTAACCACAAGGACATACATACAGGGAGTGATAACATAAAAACTGACAATCGTATGGTTGCCTCCTTGCTTCTTATGCTAATGTAATTAGTAAAAAGGGGACAAAAGATACACCATCAGTTACTGTTTCTGTCAATTCATAGCTGGCTAGTGTATAGAAAATGTTTTATATGTCAAATATTTGTCAGTAACAAATTTTACATTACTATATTATATATTCGACACAGTTTATGTAGAAAATATGCGAGCAGGTTGTATCTGAATTTGGTAGAGTTATACGGCAGTATAACATTTTTTATATACTAGCCTGCTATGTATTAACAATTTTATCACTTCTTATATGTAATTCCTTGTTCTTAGATACCTACGGTATCTCTATGTCTTATCTGTCTATATATAAGAAGATCTTTATCCATTTGGCTCACTGATACATATTTTTATATTTTACCTTTTATTTTTTATAATTATGTAATTCGTTTATTTGTATGAATTCAATTCTTAATTTACGTGTGCTATAAATTACTCAAAGTGTTTGTCCATCTATCTTTGACGCTAGAGAACAAACTGTTAACACGCAAAAGTGACTGACTGTATTTCAATAATTTTGCTTTTGAAATATCTTTTTATTTGAGTTTTTGTTTATTTTGAAAAATTTAAGATAATTGGAAATACTATTCTTTTAAGATTCCATTGCACCTATATATGTAGATATTTTCCCAAAGGTTCACATACACTAGAATCCAGTAACTAGACTATTAATATTATTACCCTCTGTGCTGGAGACCTACTGAAAGTATTGGATTATGTTGTTGAAACCAATATTATCAGTGGAAAAACAACAGAAATTTTTAAATATTTCATACTAACATAATACATCTATCCATGTTAATGATTATTAAATTATCCGGCTCGAAGGACCAAAAAATATTAAATATTCAGAAAGTGCTGTCGAGTGGCTTAAAGTGAAGCGGCTTGAAAGTGCCAGGTTTTGTTCGTACAGGCCAAGAAGTTGGAACTATCGGAGGCGGCGCTGCGCGCGGTGAGCGAGGCGGTGTACGGCGGCCGCGCGCCGCCACGCCGGCCCTCGGCGCGGCGCCGCGCCGCCCTGCTGCTCGCCGGTAACCGTCTATCTTCTTATTTCTTCTTTATCAATATTCATTCTTTATTATGCACAAAAAGATATTATATTGGTATAATATTTAAACATAATAAACTCTTCTCTGAAACAGATTTCTTCTAACAAACCCAACATATGAAATAAACTGACAATTTATTCATAGTTACAGGCAACATCTTTTTCTGTTGAATTCTTTCTTCTTTGTCCAATAATTTCCTCTTTGACCTCGTTTGTTTCCATTTACTTGAGATCGACTTTCCTAATCATATGGCATTATTTGCTTCTGTATTTTTTTCCATGCCATTCGACCCTTTCAAATCGGAGGGATTGTTAGTGGTGTGAACTACTAGTCTCATTGCTAGCAATGCACCTCGTCAAGTCGACCTCCACGTGGTCCCCCCTGGAAACCATGATGCTGAATTCCGGGTGGATACATCACGATGGGCTAACTGACCTGCTATTTCATTCTATTTCACTTATCATCCCTCACTGGTGCCCCGCCAGCGTATACCATTAGCGCAGGCGGGGTTACTATTTCATTATCATTCATTAAAAAAAAAGACCCTTTCAAATGTCTGTGAACTACCACTAGCCACATAGTTTAAAGGTTTCCATTTCCCCTTTTCTTTGTATCCATGGTAAAGTACTTTTTCACTATATAATCATCACTTTGCAATACATACCCGTACCATCTCAACCTGAACTCCATAATCTTGTTGGTTTCTTTATTGAAGCTACATTGATAAAGTATATTAAACTTTATATCACTACAACTAAACTTCATTTTTATTTGTAGAGCTAACAAAAAGCGAAGAAGTAACCGACGCGTACCTGCAGGACATAACGCCAGAGTTCGAGGCGTCCCTCTCGGAAGAGGATAAAACGTTCGAGACCACAGTGATGATATCGTTGGAGGCGCTCGGTGTACTCGACCAGTTGAAAGAGGCTACTGAGGTGAGGTTCTGAAATAATCTCTTTTCTGTTTCAACCACATAATAAAAAGGGGGAAGGGATTGTTAATAATGCGGATTTCCAGTCCCATTGTCTCTAAATTTATCAGTGTTTCTCTACAATGTTATGCATGTATTATTTTTTTTCTATACAACTTAGAATGGCAAACAAACTGACGGCCCACCTGATGGAAAGTGGTAACCGTCTCCTATAGACATGAGCATAACCATGGACAACAGAACATTATGTTTATTTTCAGAAATTCAAAGTTCAAATACAAAACGAACTTCTCGAAGTGATAGATACGGTGTCGCGCCGTATAATTGAGGAAGGCGATGTGGAAGCGGATATTGAGGGGGAAGAGGACGGCGAGATACCGGACACTGATAGTGTGACTGAGACGGGGCGACCGTTAGCGAGGCTCGTGACCAGCTTGAGCGAGGAGTTTCGAGCATGCGCTGCTAGAAATAAACGGTATATTTGAAGTAATATTTTATGAATTTACTAATCTAATTTTTTTTTTACAACACGGGGCAAACGAGCGTGCAGCTCATCTGATGGTAAGTGACTACCGCCGCCCATGATCACTCGCAACACCAGCGGCATTGCAGGTGTGCTGCCGGCCTTTTAAAAAGGAATATACTCTTTTCTTGAAGGTTATGTTGTCGTATCGGTTCGCTAAATACATAAATAGGTATATTATACAGGGTGAAAGGAACATGTTGGTCAAAACGAACAGCTGATTCAGATGAATGGTCGGAATCAGATAGTAAATTATTTTCCCACCGGAAATGCATCACAGTTATATTGTTAACGATTTTTAGTTTTGACGCCGCGCAATGTATATATATATATAGGGTGGACTTATCTCTGACAGAGATCTCTTCCAGTCAACCCAGTACAATGAGAAAGCATTTCGTTAGCGGGCAGCTGAAGTGCTACAACTATTAATACATAAACAAATATACAGTGTATTTGAAATTTTACGATTCACACGACACTTATTACCTACAAAGCGCTCTCAATGCCTCTATTTTGTACGTTTGTAGCGTTGACCGTACACAGCTGATTCCAAGCATCGCGGTAGAATTTTAATACGTATATTACATTGCTGTTTTTTGGTATTTCATTATAAAATATTATTATTTCTTTATATTATTACATAATATCATAGATTATAAATGAAAAAAAAAAACAAGAAAAATTTTGAAGTTTTGCAGAAAGAATTTCAGTTTAAAATAATGGTCCGAATTCACTATTTCAGGTTTTACCTACTTGTCCCTTACACCATGTATAAAACAAAGAGCTAGAGATCACTATGTATGCTGTGAAAGAAAGTAGGAAATATTTTTATTCAAGTAAACTTAGATTTAAGAATTTTTGAATAGTCATTCATTACCACCCATTCGGAACACAATTTCAGCCAAGAAGAACGGGCAAGAAACTCAGCTGTTGCTTTTTTCAAAAAGTTTAACCATACAAATAAAGAAGTGGTGTGAATACAGAGAATGTATAGTGAGGGAAATATACAGATTTTTTTTATGCAACAGTGGTACCCGTCTCCTATAGACATAAACAGTACCATGAACATAACAGAGTATACTGTTTCGCCTATGATACTCCCCATGCGTTGCCATTCATGAGGACTCAGGCGTTATTCCTCTGTGCCCTGTAAATTCACTGCTATATCCCACCCTTCAAACCGATACACAGCCATGCAAACATAACTGCTTCATAGTAGAAACACGAATGGGACAGAGGTGCTCAAGCAAAAGATCTTGGAACAAAGTTTGTCTCTGGTAAATTTACACACATACAGATTATATTACACAGATACACATTTACAAATTTCCTATGAGTGTATATAATGAGTAGGGAAATATATTTTACATATATCACATCTCCATATTTAGAAATAATAGTATTTCATCGTGCCTCCGATCAAACTGTTTATAATTACTCCTCTTCATCCAAAGGTTGCCTGAAGGAGATCACTTTTAGCGATAAGGTCGCCCATTGTTTTCTCATTGTGATTATTTCTTGTAATTGTTCATATTTATAATAAGTTTACTATTGTAAGTTTTTGGAGGAAACAATAAAGAGTATCTATCTATCTGTCTACGATTTGCAGACTCCTGCAGCTGTGGCGGGCGGCGCTACAGAAGCATCATTTGTCGGACGCTAGCCTGCACACGGAGCAACACTACTGGAGCGCGGTGCAGCAAGTTGTTAGTTAATTTTTTTTTTTTTTGTAATAAAAAAAGGTCTTAAAGATGTCTTACAGCGCCATCTAGTTACAAAGTTGTTTTAAAAAAAGTAGTTGCAGAGTTTGTACTAAACAGTTGCAAGATAGTTTTTATTTCGACTACGTGGACGTAAGTGATAGGTAGGACATTGTGTTAGCATTATCAGACAGAGAACTTGTTTGTTTTTATACTCTGTTATGTCCACGGTACTGCTCATGTCTATAGGCGACGGTTACCACTTTCCATCAGGTGGGCCGTCAGCTTGTTTGCCATTCTAAGTTGTATAAAAAAAACAATAGTTTATAGTATTTTTAAATTACTTGTGTATTATTTAATAAATGAAATAAGTGTTTACGCATTAAAAATATGTAGAAATTATAAGAAAAAATAAATATAGAAGTTGTAAAGGAATCGTTTATTACTATTTATCACGCAAAATTGTATGAAAAAGTTGAGCGGTTTTTCTCTAAACATTTGTATGAAGACACTCTATCTACATAATGTAAGAGCTCAAATTACTGGTTACTAATTACTAATTACTATTACCTGTGATAGCATTGTGCATTAACAATAATGGATCTTACTTATCTGTAATAAAGAAATACGTACGGCTCGCCATCGACAGGGAGTTCACCCTCATACCTTACAGCCTAAATGGTCGCGTACAACGCGGTTTCAGAGATGTGTTCTCCCACGAACACTCAGGTTGTGGAATGAGCTCCCTGCCGAGGTTTTCCCAAGAGACTACAGCATGGGGTTCTTCAAAAGAGGGGTAATGAGGTTTCTTCAGGGTCGGCAACGCGCGCGTAATACCTCTGGTATTGCAGGCGTTCATAGGCTACGGTAACCGCTTACCATCAGGTGGGCTGTATGCTTGTTTGCCACCTCGTGGTTTAAAAAAAAATATATTATTATTGTGTGTGTACTCCAGCTGCAGCTACTGCTGACGGACTACTTGGACATCGAGAGCGTGACTCTAGCTGAAGCTCGTGCGGCGCGAGGCGGGCGTGGTGCGGCGGCGGCGGCGGCGGCGGCGGCGGCGGCGGGGAAGGCGGTGGAAGCGCCTCCCGACCTACGCCTCGCCGACTACTTCGCACGCAAGCGGCCGCAGCGCCGCAGGCAGAAGCTGTTCAAACTGGATGGTACGGTGCACGCTACTAGTAAAATATATACGTGATTGACGTAAGAAATGACGTGTGTGTATTCTCGTACTGGAATTATCCAGATCATTTCCACTCACAATCAATCTTTTAAAATTCAATTTCTGAGAACGAGCCGTGATTAGTATTATAGTGTGAATGTAATTAGCAAAGAGAGAGCCTTTGTACAAAAGTCGTTTGCTTGGGGACACCTCTGTCCCATTCGTGTTTCTACCATGAAGCAGATGTGTTTGCATGGCTGTGTGTTACAAAGTACAGAGGAATAACACCTGAGTCTTCAGGAATGGCAACGCATGGAAGGTATCATGGACGAAACTATACTCTGTTATGTCCATGGTACTGCTCATATCTATAGGCGACGGTTACGACTTTCCATCAGGTGGGCCGTCAGCTTGTTTGCTATTCTAAGTTGTATAAAAAAAAATGTAATCTAAGGTTAGCACCATATTAAGGGTACATATCTTCAGTTACATGAGTACCTAAATAATTTTGAGTAATTACCAATATACCAAAGACAATCCGGACAATGTGTGATATACGTAAGAAAATGTAAAGTTTTTGACAATATTTTGCCGATAAGGTGTTACCAAATTATCTGCAGTCCCTGTTACAGGGCATAATATTAGATATATATATTACAATAAAAAAAGGAATTTCATGTCGAAGTAGTATGGAATTATTTAAAAAAAAAATATGATAAAGTACTTAAATTTCTTCATTGCATGTAAAACGTCCTCATAACTTTATTTTTCTCTATCACATTGTTGGTCGCGCTCACTCCGTCTTATTTCTCCTATTACTCCGTCGGGCTTTACCGTGACTATGCAACGGCGCGTCACAAAGTAAACATTAAGCTGTTTACTAAAACCACAGATATTTTGATATTAAAAATCGTAATTTACTTACCAATGTGAATGTGTTTAGCCACTTTAAAAAGGTGACGAACCTCCCATCACACTTTAAACAGGCTTTGGACTGTCAAATTGTTGTAACATCTTTACGCGCCTGTTCATTTAGTTATCTTAGAAAAATAAGACATTATTTCAGCTGTTTAGCCACAAAAAAAATGATGATGGCGACTGCAGTGTATTACAATAACTAGGCGTGTTTAAAAGTTCATCACTTTATTTAAAACACTTTTTTTGTTTACACTATTCACACTAAACCAATTGTTGCACTAATCCACCTTGTTACGTTTACGTAGTTTCTTTACACTTTCAAATACAAGCCCATTTTACTCTTAATTCTGTTACATGTATGTGTGATTAGCTATTTTTTTTTGATGCACATTTGAAATATATCCGGTTTAATCATTAACTAAGGTCTTTCACATGGCCGCATAAAAGTCCAGTGGAGTTAAAGGTCATTAAATACCTTTATCCATCTCACACCATAGATCGCATTTGGATACAAAATTCGAAACGTGATGCATAATCATTTAGGCATAGAGTCCAAACTTAAGCATTTGGTTAAACATTTGGTTACACCTTATATATTGGCATAGTATTTGTTATTTTGTTAGGTAATAGTTTTTGAAAAACCTTTGTTTACAATTTCTTCATATAATCCGAAAAAATGTTATTTATTTTGTTTTATAATATAAATAATTATTTATATAGCAACGACCGAGGTTAGCGTGCGGGCGACGACACGCCGGCAGGCGCCCGTCGTGTGCCGCGCTGACCCGGCCCTGCTGCACGCAGCGCTGCCGCCGCTGCACGCGCTGTGCGCACACATCGAGTCGCTCACTGGGTACGTGCGCCTGCACTACACACTGTACATGAGTTCGGAGTCAACCTTGCTCAGCATATATTTTTTCTGAAACATGTTTGAAAATGTGAGCATTATTTTGATAATCTTCTTCGAGATAAATCAAAATTGCCGTACTGGCCAGATACATGTGGATAGCGGCCGGCAAAAGTTGTATGAAAATTCATATCTGTCGTGTTTTGCGGCCAGATAAATTACTATGTAAACTCATATCTGTCCTGTAATTTAAAAATGGAATGACCTTTTACTTTGAAATATGGCTACCAAGGAGGTAACTAATAAAAGGTTTTATTTAAATTTCGAACTGGTTTGCAAATAGAAAGCTATTTCTTGAAAAAAAAAAAAAACAAAACATGAAAATTATGGCGAGTGAAAAATTATTATTGTTTGTTATTCGTCATTGAAATTGAAAAGTAAAATTGTGTTCTTGATTTTCGCGCATTGTTTGAGAAAAGTACTATACAAGTCTTGGTCACAACTAGGCATTGATGGACTCATGTACGTGTGCCTCGGCTACGTCTCGGCCCACATTTGCACCTTCGTCCATCAATGTCTCAGTTGCTGGCCGTTGCAGTAATGTACTATACCTCTATCTCTACAAGCTAAATTACACTTTCCTAGTAATTTAGCTTGTACAGCCAAAGCGCCATAGTTGTAGAATACTGACGGGTCTTTATATGTAATCTTTGTAAGATCCGTCAGTATTCTACGACTATGACGAAAGGAATGTGAAGAAATGTGGTATGTTTTTTGTGTATCAAAGTTGTGTGTGGTGCGCAGCGGCGGCGAGTGTTCGCTGCGCGCGTTCCTGGCGGACTACGTGCGGTGGTGCGAGAGCGCGCGGCTGGCGGCGGCCGCGCGCGCCGACATCGACGCCGCGCTGCGCGCGCCGGCCGCGTGGCGCGAGCGCAGCGTCGCGGCCGGCGGCCGGCCCGTGTACGCGGGCTGCGGCCTCGCCTGGCGCGCCGTGCGCCGCGCGGCGCTGGCGGCGCGCCGCTGCGGCGCGTGCGGCGGCGCGGCGGCGGCGCGCGCCGCGCTGGCGGCCGCCGCGGCGCTGGCGGCGGCGTGCGGCGGCGCCGCGCCGCGCCTCGCCGCCGCGCTCGCGCCGCAGCCCGCGCCGGCCTCGCGCGCCGCGCGCTGGCTGGCCGACGACGACATCGTGCGCTTCCTGCAGTCGCTGCCCAACTGGCGCGCCGCCACGCAGCAGCCGCGCGACCGCCGCGACCGGATCGACGCGCAGGTACCGCTACGGTGCACTGTTCTGTGCTTCTGTGTTTTTTTAATATATAAACTAATAGAGGTTTTTCAACCAAATTACACGACATTAAAATATAATGTGAACATAAAAAATTTTAATAATAATTTTTTTTTTTTTTTTGCATTGCCATTTTAACACAAAATATCATACTTTAAATACAGTAAAGTATAAATAATAGCATCTCGTTCCACCTGGCCGGTGTCGCAGGAGCTGCGGGAGGCGTACTCGCGCGAGGCGGACACGCTGGTGTCGACGCTGGGCGACGGCGCCGTCACGCGCCGCGAGATCGTCGCCGACGTCGCCCAGCTCGCCGACATCGCGCTGCTGGCCACCACCATGGTAGCTACACTCGACTCGTCTCTAACCGCCGATTGCAATACTAATATAATTTGCTACTGTCAGTCGCACTGCATTATAGGTCTTTGAGTGCCGACGAGCGGCATCGCACTCGTGCGCATTGCAACGTTTACCAGAGGGAGACTTTGTACAAAAATCAATTGCTTGGGTACCTCTGTCCCATTCGTGTTTCAACCGTGAAGCAGTTGTGTTTGCATGGCTGTGTTTCGGTTTGAAGGGTGGGATATGCCGTGAATTTACAGGGTACAGAGGAATAACACCTGAGTCCTCAGGAATGGCAACGCATGGGGGGTATCATGTGCGAAACAGTATACTCTGTTATGTCCATGGTACTGCTCATGTCTATAGGCGACGGTTGCCACTTTCCATCAGGTGGGCCGTCAGCTCGTTTGCCATTCTAAGTTGTATAAAAAAAAAAACTAAAAGTGCCACGAGCGTCATAGCGCTCGTGAAATCAGTCGCTGTTTAGCTTGCTGTAAAAAAAAAATTAAAATTGGATAATTTTTGGAGGAGTTACAGTTTTTTTTAGAGACAAGGCTAAATGACATCAACACGATAAAGATTTCTTTGGCATTTTTAAGTAGATATGAGTAAAAATCAATGGCACTAAAAGGGTTAATACATAGTTACGGCTATGTAACAGAACACTCGTGTCTGGTCAGTAAACGAGGGTATTAGGTGTTTTTATACAACTTAGAATGGCAAACAAACTGACGGCCCACCTGATGGAAAGTGGTAACCGTCGCCTATAGACATGAGCAGTACCATGGACATAACAGAGTATACTGTTTCGTCCATGATACCCCCATGCGTTGCCATTCCTGAGGACTCAGGTGTTATTCCTCTGTGCCCTGTAAATTCACGCCATATCCCACCCTTCAAAACCAGGTTGACGGTAAATCAGCAATTTCACTTGACGATTTAGTTTATTAAGCGTTTGTTGTTATTAATTTAATGGTACATCTGCGACTGGTGTGATAATACTAATATTTGATCCCAGGACTGGTTGTGTGCGAACGTGAAGACAATACCGTCGCTAGTGAGCGGCCCGTCGCCCGGCGGCGGCGGCTCCGTCAAACTCAGCGACAAGTTCATCAACGACGTCAACTCCACCGCCATGATCTTCGAGGAGATATCGCACAAGTGCTTGCTCTTCTTGCATCTCGAGGTAAAACTATGTTGTTAAGTTTGGTTATCTTATCTTATTTTTCGCATATGGGGTCAGCTAAGCCGATGCACGTCGACCCATACGGATCTTTTGTGCTTCCCCCTGCCTTTCCATCATTTCATAGATCCTGTGTGTTACCCTAACGATATCCCGCGGTTTAAGATATCTGTAGTCCCCTGGCTCTGGATAAGCCGTTCCCAGTAGACTCATACGCATACTTGACAACGAATCGCAGTTGCACATCAAGTGTTCCATGGATTCCGATTTCTCCCCGCACAGTCTGCACAGTGTGTCCGAAGATAGACCCATCTTGTGTAGTATATGCCTTATTGGCATACGTCCAGTTAGGGCACCCATAATGAGTCTTGCCTATTCTCTGCCACCGCTGTAGATGAGTTTATCCCATCCCTATAATTTTAGTTATTATTTCCCATAAGTTTGATTAAGTTTAAACAAGTTTTGTCAAGCATGGTCTGCAGTTTCAAGTTAGTAAGAAACAATGTCCACATAGCGTAGTTTTTAACGTTCAAAATCTTTTATCGGAAATTTAATAAAACAATAATATAAAGTGGTCTTTTTTTTAAGTTGGTAACGTAAAATTAGTTGAAAATTTGAATTTGAAAATGTGAAAACAGGGATAATTGAAATTGTCTATTTGAAATGGACTGCAAATAAATGTTACAACCCTGTGATGAAGGCCATAGCTATAGATATACTAGAGACAGACTTTGTACAAAAGTCATTTGCTTGAGGACACCTCTGTCTCATTCGTGTTTTTACCACGTGTGTTTGCATGGCTGTGTTTTAATTTGAAGGGTGCGATATGGCAGTGAATTTACAGGGTACAGAGGAATAACACCTGAGTCCTCAGGAATTGCAACGCATGGGAGGTATCATGGGCGAAACAGTATACTCTGTTATGTCCATGGTACTGCTCATGTCTACCTAACGGTTGCCACTGTCCATTAAGTGGGCAATTAGCCATTCAAAATTGCATAAAATATATTTGGCACGGCTGTGACTGTGTGCAGATGCGCATCGCGTGCGTGCACTACCTGGGGCAGGAGGAGCGCGGCGAGGAGGTCGGCGCGGACGACGGCGGCGACGAGCCGCGCGGCGGCGGCGCGGCGCGGCTTGCGCACGCGCTGCTTGCCTTCCACGAGCTCGCCGCGCCGCTGCTTGCGCCGCACATGCTCGCCGTGCGTACACTAAACTTTTTTTTAAAGATGAACAATACAAAGATATCCCCGCCTGCACTAACCTGTTTTTTTTTAATGGACGATAATGGAATGGTAACCCCACCGGCGCTATCAGTGTACACCGGCGGGGCACCAGTGAAGGATGGCAGGTGAGGACGAAGCAGGCCAGTTAGCCCATCGTGACCAATTTAACAAAAATTGTTCACGATGATTTCCAGGGGGAATCACGTGGAGATCGACCTTATAGGGCATGTTGCTAGCAATGGGACTGTCAAACTCGATTGTTAACAATGCCTTAATGGTATACATGTATGTTGGCCTAGCACCAGTGACGGATGATTGGTGAAATAAAGAGATAGGTCAATTAACTCATCGTAATTAATACATCACATGGAAGTCAACCTGACAGAATAGGGGGAAAAGGGATTGTTAGTAATGGGGTTTAACCTATTGCTAGTAATACATTCTGTCAGGTCGACCTCCACGCGATTCCTCCTGGAAACCATCGTAGTTAATTCTAGCGGAATTCGTCACGATGGGCGAATTGACCAGTTTCATTCTCACCTATTATCGCTCTCTGGTGCCCCACTAGTGTATATCGATAGCGCAGGGAGTTACCATTTCATTATCACGCATTAAAAAAAACGTGACAGAATATATTACTAGCAAGGAGACTGGTAGTTCGCGTTACTAACACTCCCTTCCCCCCATACGATCTTTTTATAAGTGAAAATAGCATGGTAATCCTGTTTGCGCTATCGGTATACACTGGCTGGTCAATTAGCCACTTGTGACAAATTCAATGATAAATTTGTCACAATAGTTTCCAGGGAGAACCACATGCAGGTCGACCTGATATTGATAGCAATGGGAACTAATCTCCCCATTACTAACGATTCCCTCGCCCAGGACAGTCTGTTTACAACGTTCTATCGACCTAGGTTTTCAGTTGTGCATTAACCGTGCGTTGTAATATAACTCGGCCAGTACATAATGGAGGGCGTGGGCGAGATGATGTCGGCGGCGGTGGTGTGGCGCTGGCAGGGCGAGGGCGGCGGCGCGGCGGGCGGCGCGGCGGGCGCGCGGCTGGCCACGCTGCGGCACTGCCTCGCCGCGCTGCAGCTGCCGCACGACGGCCTGCACCGCGCGCACGCCTACCTGCACCTGCTGGCCTGCACGCCGCAGGTACGCAACACTACCCGCACTACCCGCACTGCACGCGCTACTACTGCGCACTCTCACCGACACACACACGCACGCACGCACGCACGCACGCACATGCACGCACGCACGCACGCGCACGCACATCCACACACACACACGCACGCACGCACGCACACACACACCACGCGCACGCACACATACACACACGCACGCACGCACGCACGCACACACCTATCATGGGCGAAACAGTATACTCTGTTATGTCCATGGTACTGCTCATGTCGATAGGCGACGGTTACCACTTTCCATCAGGTGGGCTTGTTGTCCGTCAGCTTTTTTGCCATTATAAGTTGTATAATAAATAAAAAAAACCATCAGGTGAGCCGCATGCTTCTTGTGTTGTAAAAAAAATATGCAATTTCTATGTTTATTTTCAGGAAATAATAACATCGATACGCGAGAAGGGCGCCCAGTTCACGGAGCTGCAGTACCTGAACGCGTTCAAGGTGATCGGCACGCGGCAGGGGCTGTCGGCCGCGGACATGCGCGCGCAGCAGGACCGCCTCGCCGCCGCGCTCGGACACGTCGGCGTCACCGTCTGAACCTCTCACGTGTCCCAGCGACCACAATCATTCGGAAAATTATAATAATAATGTAAAATTTAATTTTATAAATAAAAATTGCGTATTAAAATTTATATATTCGATGACTGACACAGTTGATCTATAATTATATTATAATTAAATTAATTTAAATAAATTTAAATTATTTTATAATTGCTAGAAAGTAACAATGTATGCTTATTTAATATGTCCACATCAATAACAAATATATTCATTGTTTCTTTAATCTACTTAGTGAGCACGCTTAATGTATTTTTTTTTATATATTGGACTCATTCTTGATCATAAATTGTTATTTACTGTTGCTTTGATATTTTAATCAAGTTATACATTGTAATAAGTATTATAAAAAAAAAAAAAAAAAAAACTAGTGAAACTATTTATCCATTTACGTTAATCAATAAAAAGTTTATACCTACTTTATTTTGTTTTATTGTATTAAGCAAAAGCAATAACAGAAGAGTATCAATGTAGTACCATTTGAACAATTTAGCGAACGACTTATTTACCACTGTAATGTTTACTCATAGCACGATTAGATTTGCATCACAGACCAAATATACCATATTTTTATAACAAAAGTATAACTGAATATTATTTACATTTGCCTACGTCGTACAGATAAAATATATAATGACAAATTTTTGACATTTGGTTTATATCAATGTCAAATTGAGCTGTCAGTGGCAGTGCTCTTAATGTTTTTGACGCTTTCTTGTTTTGTTTGTTTGCCTAACCTAATCAAATATCTTTTTAATTAGTATTGAATTTTTTGTTATTATAAGAATTCACTAAATATCAATTAATTTAAAAATATTACATCTAAGTTTACAGTAATTGTCTTAAAAGAGTATTATATTTTATTATTGTTTTCACTATGGCTGAAGCCGACACGGACTTGTCTCAATTGAGAAAAGAGTGTATAACTAGCCTTTATTTGTGTACAGATAATTTAAACAAATATCTAGAAAACGAAAAAGAATCTGAATTCGCTAAACTTAAGTCTTATGTCAGTGAATATTGCTTATTAGAAGCGCAGGAAGAAGTGGCTATTCAGGCTTTGGACAAGGCAAAAGTGAGTTTTATAACCCATAATATTGTTGAGAATAATAACAGACATCGGTTGAAACTCAAGACAATATTTTTAATACGCCTATTTTCTATACAAAGATTTTTAAGCAACATATGTTTTATTTAATGTAAAAACTGCTGGTTTAACTAACATGTAATAAGGCCCAGAGAGCTCAATTAGTTTTGGGATCTTTCGGAACCCTTAATCATGAGGAACTATGATGCGAAAGTGACCCTGACTAGGTGATTCGGCCCACTAAGTATGAGCTATAAGTGTTTGTGATCTATTAAGTGCCAAATGGTTCCAAAACTAAATAAGTTTAAGACTTAATTACACATAAGTTAAACTGGTACTTTTGGTTTTCTGTGTGTATGTTACATGATATCTATATTCATTGGAACATAACACTACTCCATACTGTAATCTGTGTAAATTGTGCATGTTGATTTCATATTAATTTTGTCAAATTGTAATTGTTGCTTTTTGAAACAAAATGGATTGACCCAATATCCTTTTTTGGAACCTATAACAACTAGAATATTAGACTAAAATACTGTAAATTTTTTAAATGAATATTATATTTTTTTTAATGTTACAGAGAGAAACAGATATTTCAAATGTGGATACCCTGCAGGACAGATTTAAAGCTCACCTCAGCAACCTTGCAAGTAAGCGTCTTAATGTGAACAATCATCCATACATGTTGGAACTGAACAAACGGTTTGAGAAAAGGCAACAGGCAGCCAGACGTGAGTACATTAATCTAACTTTATACCCCTTTTTTATGCAATGTTCTACATTGCAAACAGGCTGATGTTTCACTTGATTCAACACGTGGTAATTGTTACTTTTTTTTTATATTTTTTATTTAGAGGCTTTTATCCTATAAGGATATTTCGGCCTCGTCATACCCTAATTTTAAAAAAATACCTCACATACTTAAAACATTGATATATAAATAAATAATACATAATATCCTAGTAGTCTATTTTGATAAAGGGAATTATTGATACAAAAATATAGTAATTAAAGATTTTGCCATTCCGGAATGTGGTTCTGCAAGTATGTTTGAAAATAAACCAATCTCCTGTCTATTGAGACTATATTTCTGTATCAATACTTCCCTTTGTGTTTTGTATTTCGTACATTTAAATATCATATGATGAACATCATCGAATGTGTTACAAACATCACAATTCGTATTATTAACTTTTTTCATAAGAAAAGTGAATTTTGCATTTGGGTAATGTCCTGAGCGTAATCTAAGAGTTGTAACAACGAAATTTCTATTTGTTACTTATAGACTTGAATAGTGTCATAGATATTAGAGAATACATTTGTGGTGGTCATAAATTGCATCATGATTTGCCATTCCTGAGGTCTAAGTGTTGTATACCCAATAATTTCACTGTCATTGTCATTAAAAGGTGGAAAGCCTTTGAATATAAAATACAGTCCTGCTAACACAGAAAATATTTTTCATTCTGTATATTAAAGATTTAATTATCTATTTGTCAATTAATTATTACTTTCTGAAGAACCACATACATTTTTAATGTTTGAAAGGAAAGTAACAATGTACATTGTTGTGTACTTTTATATTTAATTTAAATAACTATATAAATATAATTTAATTTATTTATATTTAAATAACTTTATTTAGCAAAATAAAATATGGTACAAAATACTCAATGCTCGTAGCATTCTCTACTGTGTTTCGGTTTGAAGGGTGGGATATGGCGTGAATTTACTGGGTACAGAGGAATAACACCTGAGTCCTCAGGAATGGCAACGCATGGGGGGTATCATGGGCGAAACAGCATACTCTGTTATGTCCATGGTACTGCTCATGTCTATAGGCGACGGTTACCACTTTCCATCAGGTGGGCCGTCAGCTTGTTTGCCATTCTAAGTTTTATAAAAAAAAAAAAAAAAAAAAAAATACCAGTCAATCATTATTTTTCTTTGTATAGTGTTTCCAAGCTTATTTTGTCTACTGCCCACTTTGAGAATAAATTATTTTTTAGCGCTCCCATTATTTCACCTACTTAAAAACCACAACAAATCACCCCCCAAGCCTCTACACAACACCTCATTTTTTTCTGGATCTCTTACCTTTAGGCCTGCAGCGCCCACAAGGGGGCGTTATCGCCCACTTTAAGAAAGGCTGCTCTAAATAGTATTGTTTAGTTTCAAGATATGAAATTGAAACAAGAAAAATCAGTATTTATATATAAACACCCTTATTTTTTTTTTCAGAACATTTGGATGAATCAGATGTAGCTATTACGGAATCTCAAGACCAATATGTAAGTTATTCCTTATAAACGTTAAAAACCTTATAATGTCTGAATATTTTATATAATTTTATTTATTTATACTTTTGCACGATGACATGCTCCAATATGTCTACAGGACAGACTTAATGCCTCTAATATATTTATTGTCTTTAATATCTGCAGACTAAAGACAATTATTTATTTTATATTATATTTGTATCATATTTAAATGTTTCAACCGTGAAGCAGTTGTGTTTGCATGGCTGTGTTTCGGTTTGAAGGGTGGGATATGGCGTGAATTTACTGGGTACAGAGGAATAACACCTGAGTCCTCAGGAATGGCAACGCATGGGGGTATCATGGGCGAAACAGTATACTCTGTTATGTCCATGGTACTGCTCATGTCTATAGGCGACGGTTACCACTTTCCATCAGGTGGGCCGTCAGCTTGTTTGCCATTCTAAGTGCCATTTTACCAGAGGGAGACTTTGTACAAAAGTCGATTGCTTGGGCACCTCTGTCCCATTCCCATTCGTGTTTCAACCGTGAAGCAGTTGTGTTTGCATGACTGTGTTTCGGTTTGAAGGGTGGGATATGGCGTGAATTTACAGGGTACAGAGGAATAACACCTGAGTCCTCAGGAATGGCAACGCATGGGGGTATCATGGGTGAAACAGTATAGTCTGCTATGTCCATGGTACTGCTCATGTCTATAGGCGACGGTTACCACATTCCATCAGGTGGGCCGTCAGCTTGTTTGTCATTCTAAGTTGCATAAAAAAAAAAAAAAAAAAAAAAAAAAAAAAAAAAAAAAAAAAAAAAAAAAAAAAAAAAAAAAAAAAAAAAACAAAAAAAAAAAAAAAAAAAAAAAAAAAAAAAAAAAAAAAAAAAAAAAAAAAAAAAAAAAAAAAAAATTAATAAATTGTGATTTTATATACATTAATGTTTTCAGATTGATCCAATAACAAAGAAACCCATAGTGGATCCTGTTAAGAATACAGTTTGTGGACATATCTATGAGAAGGAAGCCATTATAAATTTAATCAACATGAAAAATAGGACAAAATGCCCAGGTACATGAATGTAAAGTTCTATTTCTATTTGTAGCTATGGTCAGTTAACTGCTATGTCATAGACTGCTCAATAGTACTTTTTTAATGGATGATAATGGATGATAATGGAATGGTAAACTCGCCCGCACTAACGATTAATGCTGGCGATAACCAGTAAGGGATGACAGATGAGAATGAAAAGGCAGTTACCCCACCGTGATGAATACACCTGGAATTTAGTACAATGGTTGTCCAGAGCTTCCATGTGGAGGTCGATCTGACAGGGTGTATTGCTAGCAATGGGACTGGTAGTCACACTGGTAGTCACACTAGCAAATCCCTTCCCCCCACTCAATAGTACTTAATGTAAAGTTTTATTGAAATAATGACAGTGTATATATGAAATTAGCGTCACTTCAAAACATTCATCCAATTTTTTATTTGTAATAACATTGGACATTAGCAGATTGTTGTCCATTTATATTATATTTTCATTAAATTCTGTTGAAACTTGCTATAATTCAGACATTTTTAAGGTTTATTTGGACTAAATAAAATTGTTTTCAAAGCAAGTCGAGAGAATCATTTTGTATTTCATTCTTCATATTTTAAATAGTTTAGATTCGTGTTTTATACATGTATAGGGTGGGATATGGCGTGAATTTACTGGGTACAGAGAAATAACACCTGAGTCCTCAAGAATGGCAACGGGTGGAGGGTATCATGGGCGAAACAGTATACTCTGTTATGTCCATGGTACTGCTCATGTCTATAGGCAACGATTACCATTTTCCATCAGGTAGGCCATCAGCTTGTTTGCCATTTTAAGCTGTATAAAAAAAAATCATACATAGTTATACACAGTCCAATGTAAAACATAAAGAAGTATTTTTTCAACAATCTGTAGATGCTGCCAGTCTTATATAACAAATGCAGCATTTACTAATGCTTTGATGCCACAATTGTATAGTAGATGTGGGTATTCATTCAAAAGTTATGTACATAGTTTTATATGCAATACTATATGTATTACGCCATATATAATATAATATTAATATAATATCCCAGACAAATCTCTGTGGTTTTTGGTATACTTGTTTGTTATTTGGTTTTTATAGTGCAGATAATTAAATAAAAAACTAAAAAAAGTTCTTGGATGTATTATATTTTTAAGTCCATATAACTCTGCATAATTGACTTATGATCTACAGTGATATGTTATCTATTTTTTCTTAAATTCCGCCATTATCAGATACCATAGCAAAATACAGAGTAGCTTTATACAGAAATAGTGTATGTTAAATATAAAAAAAAATATGTCAAAAAGTATAATAATTAATTTTAATTCTGTTTTAGTGGTTGGCTGTGGTAATCGTGGACCCGTACTGACACAGCATCTACTCTCAGACGACGAGCTGAAGTTCCGCATGACTCTTACACAACATTCCACCATGATACAGGAGCGGTCCATCATGAACTTGGATGACAGCATAAATTGATAAGAGATTACCAAACTATCTTCCACGATATTAGCAAAAATGTTGATTGCATCTAGAACGTAATATAACTAGGTAACTTTAAGACTGCCCCGTAAATTTGGTAATAATGTATTAAATTAAGGTATAAATAAACGAGTATAGGTGGGTAAAATTTGGCGTCGTTTCTGACTGTTGGCTGTACATAAAAACATGTAGGGACCATATTGCTAAATGATACAATTAAAAATTATACAAATATGTATATATATATTTGTAGAATTTTGAACTCTATTATCTGTACCGATATTACTTAGTCCAAACGTTATTTTTTTTATGGCTGCCATCGTAGACAATGGTAATATTTTGCTAACTTCATGGTTAGAAAAGATTGCATGTAATTTATAAGACAGTAATGTAATTTTTCGGTATGGTAATTTCTTTTTTTAATAAAAAAGTCCAAAAAGTTCTTCTCTTACTTTAATTTATACGGCTGCCATCAATTGAGGTCAATTGATTCTGCCAACGTCATGGTTGGAGAACCTAGGTATATATAGGTATACTGGGCAAACATAGGAGTTATGCATTACCCAAAAGTTCTTTGATAAAGATTTCGATTGTGATTATGTTTAAGTGGTGGCTATTATAGCTGTCGAATGCCATCTCTAGGCTCTAAATATAATGCACTGTAATAGTTCAGTTAATTATATTAATTATCACTCGACTGTGATCGAAATAAACTAATGTTTTGATATTGTGTTTGTTTTAATATTTTGGTAACATTTTAATGCAATAATTTACGTATTTTAGTCGAATAATCTCGGCTAGTTTCGTGGCCTTTTGGGATAGTCATGCACGACTATAAGGCGAGGCCGAGCCTGACTGCGCGCCTCGGTAAGTTCATCCAATAGTTTTTTTTTTTTTTTTTTTTATTGGATAATTTCTATTGGTATACGCTAGCGGGGCACCATTGTTAGATGATAGGTGAGGATGAAAGGACAGGCCAAATAGCCCATCGTGATGAATATACCTGGAATTCAATACGATGGTTTCCAGGGGGGACCACTTAGAGGTCGACCTGACAGGGTATATTGATAGCAATGGGAGTGATAGTCCGCATTATTAACAATCCCTTTCCTTCCTAATATTTCAAGGATGAGATATGGGAGTTAAATTATAAAGTACAGACGCATATATAACAGTTTAGTTTTGTCTTTCAATAGATGTTTTTAGCCAATTGTTTGTACTTTTTTTTTGATGGATGAAAATGGTATGGTAACCCCGCCTGAGCTAACGGGATACGCTGGCGGAGCACCAGTAAAGGGTGATAGATGAGAATGAAAACAGACCAGTTAGCCCATCATGATGGATTCATCAAGAATTAACCATGATAGTTTCCAGGGGGAACCGCAAGGAGGTCGAACTGGTTGGGTATATTGCTATCAATGGGATTCTCAGTTTCCATTACTAACAATCCCTTTCCCCCCGGGATATGGCAGTTAAATTACAAAGTACAAACGCATATATCACAGAGTAGATTTGTTTTGTCTTTCAATGGATCGGATGTTTTTGACCAAGCGTTTGCACTTGTGCGAGACATTTTATCTAAATAATTAATATTAATGTAAAATAGGTATAAAGTTTGAAAATGAAAATCTTTTATATTTGGAATAATTAATATATATTAGCAGAAACCTATTTTTTTTTAACAATATCCTTCGATACATCTCCATCTAGATTTTTCAACATTCTTCGTTCGTTCGATTGAGAATTTTGAACACTTCGATATCAAGTCGAGTTGTTCGCCCACTTGTTTATTCTCTGTAAAATCATGATGGTGTACGCATCGAATAGTAAATCTTGGTCCGTAAAACTATATCAATAAAGTGCATTAACAAGAGTAATACATTAACGCTAGTAAACTATGTGGATGAAGCTCAAAATATTATATTCCCATTATATACTGATAATATATATTTAAGACCATAGCCAGAGGGAGACTGTACAAAAGTCGATTGCTTGGGTACCTCTGTCCCATTCGTGTTTCAACCGTGGAGCAGTTGTGTTTGCATAGCTGTTTCGGTTTGAAGGGTGGGATATGGCGTGAATTTACTGGGTACAGAGGAATAACACCTGAGTCCTCAGGAATGGCAACGTATGTGGGTATCATGGGCGAAACAGTATACTCTGTTATGTCCATGGTACTGCTCATGTGTATAGGCGACGGTTACCACTTTCCATCAGGTGGGCCGTCAGCTTGTTTGCCATTCTAAATTGTATAAAAAAAAGTCATTTTTAAGGGTTGTTATTATGATTAATAGATGTACATACATACATATCTGTCACGTTTGTCTCCCATTAGGGTAGGCAGAAACAATAGATGTCTAAATAATATTTTTAGAATTTTTGTCTGTCCAACTGCATTTTAGCATTATAACAACGGTCGCTCATGATTAAGGATCACGAGTAGATTCCGAAACTAGTCGAGATTTCTCGATCTAATTACACGTAGTTAAATCGGTACTTATTATACTGAAATATACCGTGTGGTCCCGGCATAGAATAGGACATCCCTTGCTTTCTTATGGATATCGTAAGTAAGGAAACTTAATAGTCAAGGAATGTACCGCAACGGTCTTTTTGAAACATCACCAAAACCTAACTGCGGTTGCCAACTCGCCTGCCAAATGTGGCCTCACTCTATTGGGGGCTTTGGCCAGTAGTTCTCATGCTTGGCAGGTGGATTGACAACCGCAGTTAGGTTTTAATGGTGTTTTAAGACGCTGCTGCCCATCTCTCGACTATTACGTTCCACTTGTGAATACTATAATTGACTTTGTCTTTACCATTATTTTTTATAGTAAAACATAAAGTTTTAAGTTTTTTTTTTAAGCTGTTGGTTTTCCTTTAACAGCAAAAAAAAACATACAAATATATTATCAAGATATAATGAGAAGTGTATACCGCGGTATACATTCTTGGAGGCAATATGTCGCCCCCGCAGACGCAATGGTCCTTATTCTAAAACTCCTAAGACTCAATTTATAAGCTTCGATTTTGAACTATTTATTAATAAGTGCACTATCGGATTATCTTATTAAACTTACATATTATAGGCGATATTAAGAGAAAACGTGCTGTGATCCTTGCATAACTTGAACTTTTGTCATATTACATAAATTGAAGGTATTTATATGAAGAAACGCATGAAGAAAAAAATTTTTTACTAATTTTATGCATTCTGATTTTATTTTTGAATTTTTTTTAATCTTTTGTATGGTACATGTATCTTTATCACATTGCTTTTGTATCTATTGCTGTTCGTGTGCTGTAAGTGATGCAAATAAATTATTTATTTACATAAAAAAATTCATTGCAGCGACTATATTTATTATAATTATTCCGATAATGTCCATCATTGACCTTCTACGCTGATGTTTAAAGAGCCACTACATTGACATCATCTGCATCGACAGATTACTTCTATGTCATCCGACGCAAACGGATCGTATCTCTTTTACATTCTTATTAGGTCAAGGTATGCAGGAAAAATTTAAAATATTAACGACACGGTCTTTTAAACCCTAGCCTCATTTAGAGATCGAGGCGGACCGAATGTTTAGGCATATATTAATTACATATAACAGGAATATAAAGTTATTTTATGGGGTGTTGTTACAAATACTATTTAATATAAAATTTATAATATGGAAGCATTTGTAGAACTATATTATGGCAAATCTAATCATATACAAGTGTACAAGTAAAAGGTATAATACATTTTAACAGCATCGCTTCGACACAGTAGTCCGGTGTATTCCAACGTGGGGCCCACGACCCACAGGGCAGCAAATTGATAGTTAGGGGGGGGGGGGATTAAAAATGGACTCGAAGCGATTTTAATACTCTTGCTCCATGCCATTTAAATGCAATGCTACAAGTAGAGAACGGTGCCAAATTTAACAAAAAAAAAGTATATAAAAAAAAATGCTGTAAATCTTTATTAGGTATAATTTAGTTTGATGTTACTAAAATATCAACTGGGCGAATAGAGTCGTCAAGTAAACTTTGTCGGGAAAAAATATGTATGGGGGCATAAACATTTGAGAAATGGTCAAGTGGGGCATGGCACAAAAAGGTTGGGAAACACTGCAGTAGCTTTTTTTATTACAGCACGCTATGACCACACCATCTTGAGCGATATCAGAGGCAATATGATCAATAAAACACGATCAACTAGAGAGACTTTGTACAAAAGTCGTTTGCTTGGGCATCTCTAACCCATTCGTGTTTCAACCGTGAAGCAGTTTTGTTTGCATGGCCGGGTTTCGGTTTAAATTAACAGAGTACAGAGGAATAACATCCGAGTCCTTAAGAATGGCAACGCATGGGGGGTGTCATGGGCGAAACAATATACACTGTTATGTCCATGGTACTGCTAATTGACTTACTCTCAACCGTTGGCTTCACTATGGCGGCTCACGAAATGCTTTTTTACGCTACATTTGAAGGAATCAAGGTTATAAAACGAAGGAAACATTACGAGAAAGGCCATTCCATATTTTTTTTAATCAACTTAGAATGGCAAAGAAGCTGACAGCCCACCTGATGGAAAGTAGTAACCGTCGCCTTTAGACATGAGCAGTACCATGGACATAACAGAGTATACTGTTTCGCCCATGATACCCCCATGCGTTGCCATTGCTGAGCACTCAGGTGTTATTCCTCTGTACCCTGTAAATTCACGCCATATCCCACCCTTCAAACCGAAACACAGCCATGCAAACACAACTGCTTCACGGTGGAAACACGAATGGGACAGAGGTACCCAAGCAAACGACTTTTGTACAAAGTCTCCCTCTGGTGTATTGTTACGGTATAGTCCACATTGTGGTGTAATATCAGAAAGCTTATTAAATTTGACATTTAAGATGTATGCAATATAATACATTTCAGTATAACAAAATTTCAAACGCTTCATGGTAGAACATTGTATGATAATGTATTGTAAGCACTACAAATTAAAGTTGAAATTTGAATGACAAATCGCTTGCTGTGTTGAAGCGGCACTGATACAAATGGCATCCTTAAGGCCGATCTCAGACGAGGCGATCGAATACGACGCTGAAGCATTTATCTACAAATTTGTTGCTGTGAATATTTTTTTTTTTAAATTAGATATTAGAACAAGAAACATATTTTCTAAACTAATTCTTTAAGATTCTTTGATAATAAAGTGGCTGCTTATAGCTTCATATCTAATCGCCTCAACTGTGGCTAAAGCGTATTTACAAAATATTTAAAACGGTGACTTTATTGTACTTTTGAGTATTCCGTCAGTATTGCTGTTTCACTTTTGTTATGTGGTAACACAACCATCAATGAGTGAAAACCATGGATGCTTGATTTGCCTAAGAATTCGATAATGAGTATGTAAGAAGTAATTAATTAAAAATAAACATTTCTGTGAAAGTGTTGACTCTTATCATTTAGTCCTACCGAAGTTCCTCTCTCTCCCTTTGCACATATGAGAGTTGTGTAGTGTCTGTGGTTGTTGTTTAGTGTATGTTATGTAGTGTGTATGTATTGTGTAGTGTATGTGTATGTTGTGTAGTGTATGTGTGTTGTATAAGTGTGTGTTATGTAGTAGTAGTATCATACACTACATACCACACGAATACACTACACACACACATACACTGTGTATGTGTGTGTGTAGTGTAGTCGTGTGTGTTGTGAAATTGTGTGTGGGTTGTGTAGTGTATGTGTGTTGTATAGTGTTTGTATGTTTTTATATTTTGTGTAGTATACACATGTAAGAATAACTCTTAAATGGCATGTGTATAACTTTTAACTGTATAACTTTGACTTGATCATAAATGTTACAGTCATACAATACACACACATCTTCTTCTCACAACAAGTCAAAGTTTCGTGTTTAGTCAAGCATCCAAGTTTTACGGAAAGGAATATGTAATATAATTATAAATAGCTTGTCTGATGTTTGCTGGAATGTACAACAAGTACAGCGAAAACAGAGAGTATCTCAAAAATAACATTCCTATCACTTATCATTAAAACAGTAACATCTCAAAATATGATTAGTCATATCTAAATAAATTGAAGATGAAAGTTTATACAACAGATATTACTGTCCTCCGAATTATCGCTTAACAATTTACATCACGTTTAAATGCAGGAAAATTCTAGCAAAACCACTAATAGTAATTATATTATTAAAATTATGACTAGCTAGAAGTTTAGGAAAGCGATGCTTTATGAAATATATTTAAATAGTTACAATTTAGTATTTAGTTTCGATCAATACACCTTTAGGTAGGTATATGTTTTATAATCATATAATATATTGTGACCTCGTTACAATGTATTAAAGCAAACTTCTTCAGAATAATATAAATAAAAACTACATGAAGTTGAATATTATTGTAAATATGACGACATGTAGTCGATTACTGTAGTTTTATTTTATATTCATGTTTTTTTTATCACTTTTGGTTAATGTACACTAATAATAAAGAAATAAGTGCGCCAACTCTAAACTTCCATTATTTGAATGTAAAAAATCTATAATAATAAAGAATTTTAGAGATACCTTTAATAAATGACAAGCAGAATTGTTCTTACCATACTAAATAAATGTTTTTTTTTTTAAATTTCCCCTAAACAAAAACTGAATAAATGTACAGTACGTCTACACATTTGACAATATGTCTGGAAGAATGTGTAGATATCGCTTTTTTGAAAATGATATTTTCAAAATTAACCGAATGTCACAATCAAATAATAGAAAAAAATATATAGCTAACAAAAAATAATCAATCATCACGCTGCAGTCGATTCTGAGAGGCCAGTTCTTTAAATTTTATATTTTAATTTGTTAGTTTCGTGAAATTACTGTTATATGGACCACCATGAAATAAATTTATAATAATTTCGACTTAAATCTAATAGAAATTTAGTTTATTTTGGTGCTTGGAGTAAAGATTTCGCTGTAAACTCAAATTGAAATATATTAAAAATAGGTTTAAAGAAAGGGTGCTTCAGTATCGACGCCAATGTTACACTCGACAAATATTAGAAAAAAAAAAAATTAAAACAAAATACACAGGCCTTTATCAAATTGGGGCCAATTTTTATTGCGAGTTTCATGCTGTTATTTATTTTTCAGATGAGGTCAAATTACTTCATTGTCTCATCAAATGCTTCTTCCCTTCTCTTCTTATTATCGGAAATTAATCCGACTTGCCATTATCCGAAATGGTGACCACAAGTGCCGCGATGCAAGATTGCAGGTCCTCGTTTAAATCCTTTCTAGAATCCATGAACTTCTGTAAGGACTCGTGGACTTTCGCCTCCTTGTAGTCGAGCCCTATTTCGTTCTTCTTAGACGTTATATCGAGGAATGCGAGCAAATTCTCTGCAACTTCCACTGGCATTTTCGCGCAGTTTGTCTCTATTAATACAGATACGTGTTTACCAATTTCCGACTTTATTAGCTGAGTAATAAAACTCCTTTCGCAATCAAAATCTGATGGCTCTTCTGTTTGGGGGGTGGTTTTCTTAAGTGATTCTATGGCTAGGAGAGTAAGCGCTAGTATGGCCTCATTTTGCATGACAGAGTGAGGTGCCACTAACATGTTCACCAAACTTGCCACACAACCATCCACCTGGAAGATAAATTGATGTCAAATCAAGTAAATGTAATTAAGATATGTCTATTTTTACATGTATAAGGAGAAATTGACTTTACTGTGTTTGTACGTAAGTTTAAAAAATAAGGTATGAGAATGTTGATGATACAGTATTTAAAATATGCTATGTTTCTATGTTAATTTTATTATTATTATTATATCAGCTTCCACGCGTTCCACACTCGTAGATTGGTCTGAAAGGGTATAATTTCTTTTCCGCCAGACTGGTGGAAATGGTTTTTTAATAAATGAAAATGGCGAAGCTGGCGCGCGGCCCAGGCCAGCAGGCGCGGCGCCTCGGCCGCCGCCGCCGCGCCACGCTCTCTGCCGACACAACGCCACCACGCACACTGCACACTGCACACTGCACACTGCACACTACAGTACGACACACTCTACTAGACAGACTGACAGTGGAGTACCTGCAGCAGCGCGGGCGGCGGGCGGCGCAGCTGGCGCGCGGCCCAGGCCAGCAGGCGCGGCGCCTCGGCCGCCGCCGCCGCGCCACGCTCTCTGCCGACACAACGCCACCACGCACACTGCACACTGCACACTGCACACTGCACACTACACACTCTACTAGACAGACTGACAGTGGAGTACCTGCAGCAGCGCGGGCGGCGGGCGGCGCAGCTGGCGCGCGGCCCAGGCCAGCAGGCGCGGCGCCTCGGCCGCCGCCGCCGCGCCACGCTCTCTGCCGACACAACGCCACCACGCACACTGCACACTGCACACTGCACACTGCACACTACACACTCTACTAGACAGACTGACAGTGGAGTACCTGCAGCAGCGCGGGCGGCGGGCGGCGCAGCTGGCGCGCGGCCCAGGCCAGCAGGCGCGGCGCCTCGGCCGCCGCCGCCGCGCCACGCTCTCTGCCGACACAACGCCACCACGCACACTGCACACTGCACACTGCACACTGCACACTGCACACTACACACTCTACTAGACAGACTGACAGTGGAGTACCTGCAGCAGCGCGGGCGGCGGGCGGCGCAGCTGGCGCGCGGCCCAGGCCAGCAGGCGCGGCGCCTCGGCCGCCGCCGCCGCGCCACGCTCTCTGCCGACACAACGCCACCACGCACACTGCACACTGCACACTGCACACTGCACACTACACACTCTACTAGACAGACTGACAGTGGAGTACCTGCAGCAGCGCGGGCGGCGGGCGGCGCAGCTGGCGCGCGGCCCAGGCCAGCAGGCGCGGCGCCTCGGCCGCCGCCGCCGCGCCACGCTCTCTGCCGACACAACGCCACCACGCACACTGCACACTGCACACTGCACACTGCACACTACACACTCTACTAGACAGACTGACAGTGGAGTACCTGCAGCAGCGCGGGCGGCGGGCGGCGCAGCTGGCGCGCGGCCCAGGCCAGCAGGCGCGGCGCCTCGGCCGCCGCCGCCGCGCCACGCTCTCTGCCGACACAACGCCACCACGCACACTGCACACTGCACACTGCACACTGCACACTGCACACTACACACTCTACTAGACAGACTGACAGTGGAGTACCTGCAGCAGCGCGGGCGGCGGGCGGCGCAGCTGGCGCGCGGCCCAGGCCAGCAGGCGCGGCGCCTCGGCCGCCGCCGCCGCGCCACGCTCTCTGCCGACACAACGCCACCACGCACACTGCACACTGCACACTGCACACTACACACTCTCACTAGACCGACTGACAGTGGAGTACCTGCAGCAGCGCGGGCGGCGGGCGGCGCAGCTGGCGCGCGGCCCAGGCCAGCAGGCGCGGCGCCTCGGCCGCCGCCGCCGCGCCACGCTCTCTGCCGACACAACGCCACCACGCACACTGCACACTGCACACTGCACACTGCACACTACACACTACACACTCTACTAGACAGACTGACAGTGGAGTACCTGCAGCAGCGCGGGCGGCGGGCGGCGCAGCTGGCGCGCGGCCCAGGCCAGCAGGCGCGGCGCCTCGGCCGCCGCCGCCGCGCCACGCTCTCTGCCGACACAACGCCACCACGCACACTGCACACACTGCACACTACACACTCTACTAGACAGACTGACAGTGGAGTACCTGCAGCAGCGCGGGCGGCGGGCGGCGCAGCTGGCGCGCGGCCCAGGCCAGCAGGCGCGGCGCCTCGGCCGCCGCCGCCGCGCCACGCTCTCTGCCGACACAACGCCACCACGCACACTGCACACTGCACACTGCACACTGCACACTACACACTCTACTAGACAGACTGACAGTGGAGTACCTGCAGCAGCGCGGGCGGCGGGCGGCGCAGCTGGCGCGCGGCCCAGGCCAGCAGGCGCGGCGCCTCGGCCGCCGCCGCCGCGCCACGCTCTCTGCCGACACAACGCCACCACGCACACTGCACACTGCACACTGCACACTGCACACTACACACTCTACTAGACAGACTGACAGTGGAGTACCTGCAGCAGCGCGGGCGGCGGGCGGCGCAGCTGGCGCGCGGCCCAGGCCAGCAGGCGCGGCGCCTCGGCCGCCGCCGCCGCGCCACGCTCTCTGCCGACACAACGCCACCACGCACACTGCACACTGCACACTGCACACTACACACTCTACTAGACAGACTGACAGTGGAGTACCTGCAGCAGCGCGGGCGGCGGGCGGCGCAGCTGGCGCGCGGCCCAGGCCAGCAGGCGCGGCGCCTCGGCCGCCGCCGCCGCGCCACGCTCTCTGCCGACACAACGCCACCACGCACACTGCACACTGCACACTGCACACTGCACACTACACACTCTACTAGACAGACTGACAGTGGAGTACCTGCAGCAGCGCGGGCGGCGGGCGGCGCAGCTGGCGCGCGGCCCAGGCCAGCAGGCGCGGCGCCTCGGCCGCCGCCGCCGCGCCACGCTCTCTGCCGACACAACGCCACCACGCACACTGCACACTGCACACTGCACACTGCACACTGCACACTACACACTCTACTAGACAGACTGACAGTGGAGTACCTGCAGCAGCGCGGGCGGCGGGCGGCGCAGCTGGCGCGCGGCCCAGGCCAGCAGGCGCGGCGCCTCGGCCGCCGCCGCCGCGCCACGCTCTCTGCCGACACAACGCCACCACGCACACTGCACACTGCACACTGCACACTACACACTCTACTAGACAGACTGACAGTGGAGTACCTGCAGCAGCGCGGGCGGCGGGCGGCGCAGCTGGCGCGCGGCCCAGGCCAGCAGGCGCGGCGCCTCGGCCGCCGCCGCCGCGCCACGCTCTCTGCCGACACAACGCCACCACGCACACTGCACACTGCACACTGCACACTGCACACTACACACTACACACTCTACTAGACAGACTGACAGTGGAGTACCTGCAGCAGCGCGGGCGGCGGGCGGCGCAGCTGGCGCGCGGCCCAGGCCAGCAGGCGCGGCGCCTCGGCCGCCGCCGCCGCGCCACGCTCTCTGCCGACACAACGCCACCACGCACACTGCACACTGCACACTACACCACACGACACACTCTAATAGACAGACTGACAGTGGAGTACCTGCAGCAGCGCGGGCGGCGGGCGGCGCAGCTGGCGCGCGGCCCAGGCCAGCAGGCGCGGCGCCTCGGCCGCCGCCGCCGCGCCACGCTCTCTGCCGACACAACGCCACCACGCACACTGCACACTGCACACTGCACACTGCACACTACACACTCTACTAGACAGACTGACAGTGGAGTACCTGCAGCAGCGCGGGCGGCGGGCGGCGCAGCTGGCGCGCGGCCCAGGCCAGCAGGCGCGGCGCCTCGGCCGCCGCCGCCGCGCCACGCTCTCTGCCGACACAACGCCACCACGCACACTGCACACTGCACACTGCACACTGCACACTACACACTCTACTAGACAGACTGACAGTGGAGTACCTGCAGCAGCGCGGGCGGCGGGCGGCGCAGCTGGCGCGCGGCCCAGGCCAGCAGGCGCGGCGCCTCGGCCGCCGCCGCCGCGCCACGCTCTCTGCCGACACAACGCCACCACGCACACTGCACACTGCACACTGCACACTGCACACTACACACTCTACTAGACAGACTGACAGTGGAGTACCTGCAGCAGCGCGGGCGGCGGGCGGCGCAGCTGGCGCGCGGCCCAGGCCAGCAGGCGCGGCGCCTCGGCCGCCGCCGCCGCGCCACGCTCTCTGCCGACACAACGCCACCACGCACACTGCACACTGCACACTGCACACTGCACACTGCACACTACACACTCTACTAGACAGACTGACAGTGGAGTACCTGCAGCAGCGCGGGCGGCGGGCGGCGCAGCTGGCGCGCGGCCCAGGCCAGCAGGCGCGGCGCCTCGGCCGCCGCCGCCGCGCCACGCTCTCTGCCGACACAACGCCACCACGCACACTGCACACTGCACACTACACACTCTACTAGACAGACTGACAGTGGAGTACCTGCAGCAGCGCGGGCGGCGGGCGGCGCAGCTGGCGCGCGGCCCAGGCCAGCAGGCGCGGCGCCTCGGCCGCCGCCGCCGCGCCACGCTCTCTGCCGACACAACGCCACCACGCACACTGCACACTGCACACTGCACACTGCACACTACACACTCTACTAGACAGACTGACAGTGGAGTACCTGCAGCAGCGCGGGCGGCGGGCGGCGCAGCTGGCGCGCGGCCCAGGCCAGCAGGCGCGGCGCCTCGGCCGCCGCCGCCGCGCCACGCTCTCTGCCGACACAACGCCACCACGCACACTGCACACTGCACACTGCACACTGCACACTACACACTCTACTAGACAGACTGACAGTGGAGTACCTGCAGCAGCGCGGGCGGCGGGCGGCGCAGCTGGCGCGCGGCCCAGGCCAGCAGGCGCGGCGCCTCGGCCGCCGCCGCCGCGCCACGCTCTCTGCCGACACAACGCCACCACGCACACTGCACACTGCACACTGCACACTGCACACTACACACTCTACTAGACAGACTGACAGTGGAGTACCTGCAGCAGCGCGGGCGGCGGGCGGCGCAGCTGGCGCGCGGCCCAGGCCAGCAGGCGCGGCGCCTCGGCCGCCGCCGCCGCGCCACGCTCTCTGCCGACACAACGCCACCACGCACACTGCACACTGCACACTGCACACTACACACTCTACTAGACAGACTGACAGTGGAGTACCTGCAGCAGCGCGGGCGGCGGGCGGCGCAGCTGGCGCGCGGCCCAGGCCAGCAGGCGCGGCGCCTCGGCCGCCGCCGCCGCGCCACGCTCTCTGCCGACACAACGCCACCACGCACACTGCACACTGCACACTGCACACTGCACACACACACTCTACTAGACAGACTGACAGTGGAGTACCTGCAGCAGCGCGGGCGGCGGGCGGCGCAGCTGGCGCGCGGCCCAGGCCAGCAGGCGCGGCGCCTCGGCCGCCGCCGCCGCGCCACGCTCTCTGCCGACACAACGCCACCACGCACACTGCACACTGCACACTGCACACTGCACACTACACACTCTACTAGACAGACTGACAGTGGAGTACCTGCAGCAGCGCGGGCGGCGGGCGGCGCAGCTGGCGCGCGGCCCAGGCCAGCAGGCGCGGCGCCTCGGCCGCCGCCGCCGCGCCACGCTCTCTGCCGACACAACGCCACCACGCACACTGCACACTGCACACTGCACACTGCACACTGCACACTACACACTCTACTAGACAGACTGACAGTGGAGTACCTGCAGCAGCGCGGGCGGCGGGCGGCGCAGCTGGCGCGCGGCCCAGGCCAGCAGGCGCGGCGCCTCGGCCCGCCGCCGCGCGCGCCACGCTCTCTGCCGACACAACGCCACCACGCACACTGCACACTGCACACTGCACACTACACACTCTACTAGACAGACTGACAGTGGAGTACCTGCAGCAGCGCGGGCGGCGGGCGGCGCAGCTGGCGCGCGGCCCAGGCCAGCAGGCGCGGCGCCTCGGCCGCCGCCGCCGCGCCCGCGCCGGCGCCCGCCCAGCGCGCCGCCGCCGCCAGTGCCGCGCGCCGCGCCGCCACCTGCCGCGCCACGCTCTCTGCCGACACAACACCATGACGCACACTATACTCCACACGCAACAGGCAACTATGGAGTTCCGCAGGGCACACTACTAGGTCCCGTGCTTACTTTCTATACAAACAAAGTTATTAGATCCAAATATAACTAGACAGCGTGAATTTAACGAATTAAAGTGATAGCACTTGTAAAAAATAAAGGTAAAGCAATTAGTTTAATAAATTATCAGTACAAGTGTTTCTGAAAAAGATCTCTTGCAGCTAACCCGATACAGTGAAGGAGAAAATGATTAGCAAAAATTTGTCATGAAGACAACTTCCAAATAAAGTAGAGATAATTATTGAATACGAAAAATGAACGAAAAATTTTATTGTCCCATTATAATATATAAATATTTTAAAATGATTACAGTATCTTAAAGACATTTGGTTGAATTCATTAAGTATTCTTTGATCAGTCTTACACATAATAGAGAGAGAACACCTACCTTGCCCATCCACCAACATCCGTATCGCAGCGAGCAGTTTATAGGCAACGTGATGATCTTCTACGTGCGGGAGAGCGTCCAGTAATATGGGCGCAGCCCTACCCTGTGCCGCCACCACCCTCTTGTTGGCGACAGGCACAGACAAGTTCCTAAGGGCCGACAAGACCGCACGCTGGATTTTAGTCACTGTTACCGAGTCAATAGGGTGCACAGATTCTGGTTCCTTTTGCATTTTCTGACTAAAACCATTGTATACCTCAAACAAATCTGAAAAAAAAAATTAAGATTATGAATTGAATATAATAGCTACTACATAAAATCTAGATTGTGTGCACCGCGTAGGTCCCGGAATAGAATAGGCCACTCCTTCCATTCTCGTGGGTGTCACAAAAGGCAACTGAGGGAAGTTATGGTTGAGGGATGGGCAACAGTGTACCTCTTAAAAAATCACCAAAGTCTGCGGTTGCCAACCCACTTGCCAAGCATGGTAACTACTGGCTAAACTTCGCCAATTATGGGGGAGGTCTATGTTCAGCAGTGGACAATTAATGGAGGATATGGTATGGTATGGTAAAATTTAGATTAAGGTTAATTGAGTAATACTGAAATGCTTTTTATTTTACTTTTCCTACTCCTTGCTTAGTATTATTAAAAAAAAAGCTGCATAATTAAAAAGATAATCCCCTACCCCACTATCAGATATACAATAATATAAAATTATATGGCTAACAATTTTTTTTAAAAGTACCACATGAAGTTAGTAAAATACCTAATTACAGTTGTCTATCAAAATTATATTTACCAAGTAATTTATCATAGATTTTGTCCTCCATCATTTGTCTGCAGTAGTCATCTTGTCTCGCAAAATTTCCTATCGCAAGCACAGCAGTTGTGAGTAGGTCATAGTTTGACGATTCCAGCCATTTCACCATTGTGAGATATACTTCTCCAACGCCATTGTTGTACAGTATATGCATTGCTTCATCTGAAATAACAAATATAGTATATTTTACCAGAGGGAGACTTTATACAAAAGTCGATTGCTTCGGTACCTCTGTCCTATTCGTGTTTCAACCGTGAAGCAGTTGTGTTTACATAGCTGTGTTTCAGTTTGAAGGGTGAGATATGGCGTGAATTTATTGGGTACAGAGGAATAACACCTGAGTCCTCAGGAATGGCAACGCATAGGGGTTATCATGGGCAAAACAGTATGCTCTGTTATGTCCATGGCACTGCCACTGACGGTTGCTATTTTCCATCAGGTGGGCCGTCAGATTGTTTGCCATTCTAAGTTGTATAAAAAAAAATTAACTTTGGTTTGAGGTCGTACAGAACAGTAAGTTTTGAAAGATGAGGAAGACCCATGCCCAGCATCAAGGGTTAATAATAGATATAGTATTATCATCATATCTGAACTGTAGCAACATGAATTTTATTTATTAATTGACCTGACTTTATGGACACTCATAGATATTATAGATAGATATAGATATTATACAGATATTATATATATATTATACAGATATTATATAGATATTATATAGATATTATACAGATATTATATAGATATTATATAGATATTATACAGATATTATATAGACATTATATAGATATTATATAGATATTATACAGATATTATATAGATATTATACAGATATTATATAGATATTATACAGATATTATATAGATATTATACAGATATTATATAGATATTATACAGATATTATATAGACATTATATAGATATTATACAGATATTATACAGATATTATATAGATATTATACAGATATTATATAGATATTATACAGATATTATATAGATATTATACAGATATTGTATAGATATTATACAGATATTATACTGATATTATACAGATATTATATAGATATTATATAGATATTATATAGATATTATACAGATATTATATAGATATTATACAGATATTGTATAGATATTATACAGATATTAGATATAGACTCATATAGACATAGGAATTGAACAATACAGTTAAATAATTTTCTATTGAAATTTTCTTACCTCCAGTCAATACAATGATGATAAGATCACAAGCCTGCTTCAGTATAGCGACAACTTCATAGTCATCCGCATTTAAATCTCCTGCATCGTGCTTTTGCACCAGCTGTTCTAACCGTGTGCAGACCAGTTGTAAACCACTTTCTTTTGCTAGTAATGTTTTAACTGAATCTGTAATTTTAATAAAAAAAATTCTTGTTATATTATATTTTGTAATCGTAAAGTTTAGAGAAAAAGGGGAGATTGTTAGCAATGAAGACTAGCAGGTCTATTGCTAGTAATATGCTTTATTAGCAAATCCCCCTGGAAGCCATCTTGATTATTTTTTTATGAATTTGTCACTATGAGCCAACTGTCCTGCCTTTTCATTCTTACCTATCATCTCTTACTGGTGCCCTGTCAGCATAGACAGGATTTACCATTCTATTAATAGCAATTAAAAATATGGGGGCAAAGGGATTGTTAATAATAGAGACTAAGAATCCCATTGTTAGCAATATACTCAACCAGGTCAACCTCCTCGTGGTTCCCCCTGGGAACTATCATTGTTTATTCCTGATGAATTCATCATGATGGGCTAACTGGCCTGTTTTCATTCTCATCTATCACCTTTCATTGGTGCTCCGCCAGTGTATCCCGTTAGCACTAAAAGGTTTGTTAATAAAATATATAATAATTAATAATTATGCATCTAATCTCATAATTATTTCTAATAATAATAAATTTGTCTGAAAAGAGTAACAATGAAGTCTTCTCAACAATTCTTCGCAGTTAACTTCCTCCTAAATATTTATTTATTTAAATTTTAATACACAATTATATAAGTGTACTTATAACGGACTTAACATCTCACTGCATTCACTACCAGTCTGCCATAATGCAAAAAGAGTATTAAGTAAGTGGTGGATTAAATATAATTATTAAAATACTAAAGTAAGTGCAATTTAAGTAATATATTTGTATTTAAATTTCTAATTTGATTGACTTACCATGTTCAGCCTGCACATGTAAATGTTCCAAGCACAACTCTGATATCTCAACATTAGTAGTCTCCCGCAGTACATCAAGAACAGCTTTATTGACATACTCCTCAAATAGATACTCTGGGTTATTATCATTTATAATACTCAAAACAAACAGTGCTGTCAATACCATATCATCATTCATATCATCCTTCTCAAGTTCTAACACTAATATTTTATGTAACAACTCAATCAAGCCCTCTTGTACAATTGATTCTGAGAACTGTGCTCCGCCGATAGCAAAATTCTGAAACATTTTGGTACCATAAACTTTGACATCTTCAAAATCACCTCCCTTTTCTATAGCTTGTTTTAATGATTTTATTATTATGGAAACACCATTGTAATCAAGAATAATCTTTCTCGATGTATCACAATTACAACACAGATTGCCTAAAGCTCGACAGCACTGTTTCAGGAGCTCTGTTTTGTCAGAATTAATTTCTTTCTTCAATATGTCTATAATAGGTTCTATTACTTCTTTTTGAGCATATACTTTCCTTTTATCTTCACATTTAGCGAGTTCAGACACAGCCTGGACACTAAGAAGAACAATTTCTTGATCACTGCTGAGCAGTAAAGTTTTCAAACATGAAGATACATTGTATTCATAGTCTTTGCCGGTTGCAATAATATGGTTAAGTTTCGCTTTTAAATCGTTTACATTTGTAATACTTTGAATGACCAAGGTCTCAAAAGAGGTAGATTTCTTTGCTGAAGTACCTAAAACATGGTTGATACAATTAATTTCTAGAATTATAAGACAGTGAAAATCTGGCCAATGCATCGTATACTCACCATCCATGCTGATAGGAACTATAAATTATTGATAGATCCAGAATTATATAAATAGATTAAAGGTAATGGGGTAATTTGCTCATAGTTGTAATTTATGAATTTAATAGATAAATAACGCAGAAATTGCAAAGAAACAGAAATAGTAAAATTATCAGACAAATGACAAATAGGTAATCAATGCTAGGAATGACTGACTGACAGTTTGACTGTCTAAATGAGTTGTCAGTTTGTACAATATTAATGCCTGATTTAGCTTAATCCTAAGAACAAAATTCCTTGATCTTAGGCTTGATCGGGAGATGCACAGATTAAGGACAATTAAACCTATCTGTAAGATTGGTTGTTTCAATAATCAAGAAGAAAATATTATGGAGCGGTATATGGTCAACTATCTTGATTATGATATATGGAAATAAGTACTTCATGAATTTTTACTGTTTGTCGCGCACTAACATTACATCTACTACGTTAGTATTGGAAAGAAATTTTACAGATTGTTTTTATTTTCATTATTTTGTTAGTGGATCCAATAATAGAGGAATTTTTAAAATTATTGTTTTTTAAAAACAAAAGATTCTTGACAATTTATTTTTATCTAAAGTATTTTCTCAGTGTTTTAATGTAAACATATTTGATGTAACAATACTAATACATATAATATGTAGTTTAAAAATAATATATTAAAGTAGGTCGTATACCTACTTTAACATAATTTTTAACTACTACCAGATTATTGGTTACACAATTTAAAACAATACACATCAATGACATACAAACGAATAAAATGTTCACTATTATATTTTTATAAATGATGTGAATTTACGTAAACGAGGAATACCAGAGGGAGACTTTGTACAAAAGTCGATTGCTTGGGTACCTCTGTCCCATTCGTGTTTCAACCGTGAAGCAGTTGTGTTTGCATAACTGTGTTTCGGTTTGAAGGATGGGATATGGCGTGAATTTACTGGGTACAGAGGAATAACACCTGAGTCCTCAGGAATGGCAACGCATGGGGGGTATCATGGGCGAAACAGTATACTCTATTATGTCCATGGTACTGCTCATGTCTATAGGCGACGGTTACTACTTTCCATCAGGTGGGCCGTCAGCTTGTTTGCCATTCTAAGTAGTATAAAAAAAAAAAAAAAATTCCCCACAGAAAATGTTTTTGTTTAGGTTCACCTCTATCAAGAATCGAACGCGAAACCTTATTTTTTAACACTATGCCACAGAGGTTGCCATTGAAAGAAATTTGTAGTGGGTCGGCTGTACGACATTACTAGGGATTTACAAAAAATTCAGAAATAGCAAAAACAATGCAAAAGATCTGTAATTAGTTTTTACCAATTTATTAAATATCATGCAACCTTGATCGTTTTTTCTGGTAGGTACATGGAAAACTGTAGGCGTGTCGATAATAAAATGATCGTAAAACAACCGCAAGGCGATAAATTACTTATTGTATTAAGAAGTACCGCAGATGCGCATATTTTCAATAAAACAATATTTTTGTTATGAGCCGTACGTTTCTTTTTTCTAACAGAGTTGTGTAATGATGTAAATAATTGCGTGATTAGTGTTGTGTACAAATATGCAACCGTGTATAAATCTAATAACACTAATTTTACTTTTCATTGTAAAACATACTTTAGTTGGATTTAGTCAAAGTTTCTTATATGAGGCCATGCACAATTTTGGTTTAGGGAAAAGATTGTGAGTAAATATCAGTTACGATTTAATATGAATTTTAAATAAATATTTTTAACAATAATTGCTACTGGATTTTGTTTATGCATGATAATAGAATGGCAACCCCGCTAATGCTAACGGTATATACTGGCGAGGCACCAGTAAGGGATGACTTACTAACAATGGGGGGAGGGCCCCCAACATTTGTATTTATGTCTGTTGTTTGTAATGTGGACTACCAGTCTCATTGTTGGCAATATACCCTCTCAGGTCGACCTCCATGTGGACCCCCCTGGAAACGATTGTGCTGAATTCCAGGTATATTCATCACAATGGGCTAACTGATCTGTATTTTCATTCATATCTATCATCCCTCACTAATGCTCCGCAAGCGTCTACCATTAGCGCAGGCGGGGTGACCATTCCATTATGACATATAAAAAAAATACGTATTTAGCGGAATTCTAAAATTTCAAAAAATATTTTTTTATCTGAAAGAATATACATACCTTCAGGTTGACTCAAAATCAACTTAGCAGTTTAGTTTTTAATAAAAAAAAAAAAAACTGTTGTTGTGTCAGCCGTTAACTCTCCACTGCTGAACATTCCCTAGCTAGCCCCCATAAAGGAGGTTTTATCAGTGGTTGCCACAATTGGCAGGCGAGTTGGCGACTACAGTTTGGCTTTTGGTGACGTTTTAAGAGGGACGCTGCTGCCCATTTCTCCACTATAAACTCCCTTAGTCACCTCTCACAACACCCACGGGAAACGAAGGGGTGATCATTCTATACCGGGACCTAAACAGCTAACTGGTTATTTCACAATTGAAGTTGATTTCTTTTGTGAAACATAATCACCAGGAAAATGGTAATTTTCCATGAGGTGGACCATCCGATTATACTTGTTCTTTTACTACTTACATGTCCAAAACATATAGCTTTTCTCATTTATTTATACATAGACCAGACTATCAGAGAATTTTCAATGAGGCCAAGTATCCAAAACCGCTCCCATCTACAAAAGCAACCCCATACATGCGCTCTCCCTTCGAGAATATCTACCAGGGGAGTAGGAGAAGAAATGATAGGAGAGTGTACAGAAGAAGTTTTGATTATGAAGCACAATCGACAGGACACCAAGTGCTTTTTGAAGGCACCTTCGATTGCAAAGTGAGCATATTTTGTACACATTTTTTTTCTAATAAAACAAGTCTGTAAGTTTGTGAATAGATCCTACGTTTGTTACACAATCATGCTGAAATGTTCTATGATGAAACGAAATAAATATTTGATATTAGATTATTAAATCCCACATTAACCACTTTTTTTTTAATAGGATGAAAATGGAATGGTTTTTTTTTTAAGGATGATAATGAAATGGTAACCCCACACGCGCTTACGGTATACGCTGGCTAGGCATCAGTAAAGGATGATAAGTGAGAATAAAAAGGCAAGTCAATTAGCCCATCGTGATAAATACACCTGGAATTCAGCGCGATGGTTTCCAGGTGGAACCACAGGAAGGACGGCCTGACAGGATACATTGCTAGCAATGGGACTGGTAGTCCGCATTACTAACAATCGCTTCCCCTGAATGAAATGGTATCCCCGTTTGTACTAGCAGTATTACAATACATTGACGGGGTACCAGTGAGGAATGATAGATGAGTTGAGAATGAATTCAAGTCAGTCGGCTCACCGTGAAAAATTCTTCGAGAATTAACCACGACAGTTTCCAGGGAGGGAGGTGTGAAGATAGATTTGCAGGGCGTATTCCTAGCAAATAAGCACCATCATTCATGTTACTATTATGACAATCCCTTCCATTACACATTACATTACTTATTACCTAATCACCTTCGACCCGATATCATTTTAGATATCTCACATAGCAGCAGAAACAAAAGGAGGTATACCAATTCTATTCCGTGGTGGTGCTGGGTATAATTATTTCAAGGTGATTGTCAAGGCACCGGCTGGACACCAACTAACTGGGACAGTCAGGGTTTACTGTCTGGACAGTACCGACGACTATCGTAAGGAAAGTCTACGATCTAGATACAACAATTATACAAAGTAGATTATTTTTATTACGTATTAAATATTTATTAATTTATTTTACAAATAAATTGTATATGGGAAGTCATCATCATCATCATTTCAGCCATTATTCGTCCATTGGCGCCTCCCATAGATTATTTTTGATGGGTGAAAATGGTATGATAACCCCGCCTGTGCTAACGGGGTACGCTGGCGGAGCACCAGTGAACATTTGACGAAAATACTCACCGTACTAAATTAATGACATGTTTACTATCATCATTGGACTTTGTGCGTAAATTGTGTTCACAAAAGATGAATGGACAATACTATGTTTATAACATGTTCAGTTAAAAATAACAAAAATAGACTAAAAAATAATAAAATTTATTTATTGGGGAAAAAATTAAATTGGGTATATTAGTGTATTTTTTTTTATAGGTGAAAATGGTATGGTAACCCGGCCTGCGCTAACGGGATACGCTGGCGGAGCATCAGTGAAGGGTGATAGATGAGAATGAAAACAGGCCAGTTAGCCTATCATGATGAATTCATCAGGAATTAACTATAGTTTCCAGGGAGAACCGCGAGAAGGTCGACTTGGTTGGGTATATTGTTAGCAATGGGATTCTCAGTCTCCACTACTAACAATCCTTTCCTCCCCATAGATTACCATAAGGAACGATCCTGAACCATCTGCCTCCACTGACTTCCTACAATGCATATGAGGTCGTCACTTCACCCAGTGAGGGGTCATCCTACACTGCATTTGCCCGTACAGAGTCGTCACTCTAGAACGTTTCTTATACGGAAAATATTTAAGAAAAATTTGATTAAATAATTTTAGATTTAGTAATTTAAAATTCACTTTTAATCAAAATAAGTATTAAGTTTGAAGTGCCAACAATCTCTAGTATAAAGAATAATTAAAGATTATGTTTTACAAGAAAAAAACTGATTTCAATTGAGGGAAAACCAGTTATTTAGTTTTCATACTAAATTACTGAATCGATTTTGATAAAATTTCTGTGGGATCAATCTGTAAATATGTCCTTTCAGATAAAAAAAAAGAACTTTTTAAATCGGTTTAGAACTGACGCAGATATGGCATAACAAACATAAAAAATCATATAACTGAATAAAAATTCCCTCCTTTTTTGAAGTTGGTTAAAACACTTCAGTGTTCGTCGTGATTTGTGAAATCGAACCTACAGTAATTGTCCATCGGTGGTAATCATATATTGACAAGTGACCTTAACGCCGTATCGAAATACTTTGTCTTAATTTATCAACTACATAGCGAAGTGCATACGCCGTACGATTGTAAACAATGAAATTCGGTTCGCGCGGGATCGAGGCGGTTATTAAATGATTGACCGCGTGTACAGCGTGTGCGGAGCGTGAATTAATACTTTTAAATATAAAAAAAAAATATAATGTTAAAAATTTCGTAAGCACACATTACATTTTAATTTATTAACTACCAGTTTAACTTACATGTAATTAGAACGAAAAAGCTCGACTAGTTTCGGAGTCAATTCGTGATCCTCAATCATGAGTGACTCGGCCCGCTGAGCGCGAGCTGCCATGAAATAAAATTCCTAAATTTCGGACTCAATTTCGTGTTTTTGTTTATACTAAAATCGGACCAATAAATGGAGTTTAACATTTCGTTTGTCATACATCCTAAAATAAAAGTCAAAAGGAACAATATTTTAACATTTTTAATATTTCCAAACGGCATAACTAATAATTTTAACATCAAATTTCTATTTCGTTTGGCTCCGAAATTTCGGAAAACATTTCATGGTAGGCCCTCTGTACGCGCTTGCGGCATCGTAAGAAAGATGGCGTTTGTTCAGGTTTTTTAAATGAACATTAGTTTATTTTGATATTTTTTTTTAATTGGTTGTTTTAATAAACATACCAGGAATTTATGTATGATATAATCAATACAGAACTAAGACGAGAATAAAATTTATCATTTCAAAACACATTATACAGAATTAGAGAAACATATACATACAGACTGTGGCCGTGTGGTCCCGGCATAGAATAGGCCACCCCTTCCTTTCCCGTGGATGTCGTAACAGGCGACTAAGGGAGAGCGAGAGATGGGCAGCAGCGTCCCTCTTAAAAAATCTTTAAAGCCTGGCTGTGTTTGCCAATCCGCCTGCCAAACGTGGCAACTACTGGCAAAACCCCCCAAGGGGGAGACTTATGTTCAGCAGTGGACAGTTAAAGATTGATATGATGATGACGATAATGATAGATACAGACAAATATAGACTTATATATTCATCGTGCCTCCAATCAATCTGTTTATAATTACTCCTCTCCATCCAAAGGTTGCCTGGAAGAGATCACTTTTAGCGATAAGGTCGCCCATTGTTTTCTCATTGTGATTATTTCTTGTATTTCTTTAGTATCTATAATATGTTTACTATTGTAATCTTTTGGAGGAAACAATAAAGAGTATCTATCTATCTATCTATCAATCTATAAACCAATTGAAAGCCTCTTTCTTTTGGAAGTATTTTAAATATTATATTAATTATTATAAGTGAATATTTATTTGACGCATCCTGTATAGTAAGTGAACTTATTAATTCTTAGGTCTATAAAGACCAAACACAATTTATTCCAAGAGCACCAGTCGTAGTGTCAGTAGTGCCACGTCATGTGAGCATTTAGTGCCTTTATAATTATAATCACGTCTGTTCCCGTGACACGGCACGACATCGTACGATTTTATCGTCACGATATTAGAAAAGCGATATGTATGCAATTTTATTAACATACATATATATGAGTACTTCTTTTTTGCAATGAAAGTGTGTCGATTGATTTAAAGGCATTTCCGTTTGTGTATATCTTCTCTCCTATTATATTGGTACGGTAAAATCGTCATCGTGTCGTATTATGGTAAATTAAAAAAAAACGCCCATTGTATACATACCTACCTTCTTTAGTGGTAACATTTTGATCACAGACAAATATTATAGTAAGATAGTAGTGACTGTAGATACGCATATTGTGTAATAAATAAAACAATTAGTGTTCATTATAAAACTCGTTGTACCTTCAAGTGTCACAAACATGTACCTGTGTGGAGTATCGGATTTTTTTCGTCGCCGCAGACCCTCTATCGAACGGGTGAGTTCATTGCCATAATTAGATATTAATTGACTTCCTTATTTAGTATGCATTATCAGAATTCTACACAATATAGTTGTACCTAAGCAGTATTGCAGTTACATATTTGTATTTTTATTTCGTATTTACGAAGCATTTAGTAATCTATACTATTACTAGCTGACCCCGTAAACGTTGTTTTACTACTTATTGCGAAATATAAAAATCGCGATTAAAATACAGGGGTTGATCGTAAAACGATGAAAATTTAGAGTTGTGTGTATTTTTTTATGTTAAATCATAATAAAATAAAAATGGAAAAATTTGTTAAAAAAATAAAAAAATAAAAAATTTCGGGAGGGTCACCCTTATCATTGAGGGGTATGAAAAATAGATGTTGGCGGATTCTCAGACCTACCCAATATGCACACAAAATTTCATAAAAGTCGGTAAAGCCGTTTCGGAGGAGTTTGGTAACAAACACCGTGACACGAGAATTTTATATATAAGATTATAAAAACATTAGAAGCACATCAACTATACTATGGAGCAATATTTTTGAATTCAACTGTACCTATACCTATAGCTGTAAAAAAAAATATATCTTTAATATTTTAAATACACAATCGGGTCGGTGATGTAAAAACCTTTACAGGTAAATAGTACCTACCTACTTCTTTATTGTCGACATTTCGACGTTGATTGCACCACATCGTGGTCTCGCCAGGACTACACGAGGTCACCGTGTAGTTTTGCAAAGGCTTTTTCATCGCGTCCAGTCCTGATTTTGTATTTAAAGAGTACAGAGGAATAACAACTGAGTCCTCAGGAATGGCAACGCATGGGGGGTATCATGGGCGAAACAGTATACTCTGTTATGTCCATAGTACTGCTCGTGTCTATAGGCGACGGTTACCATTTTCCATCAGGTGGGCCGTCAGCTTGTTTGCCATTCTAAGTTATATAAAAAAAACTACACTGATTAATTACGATAAACGATTCCCATAGAGATCGTAATGTTGTATATATATATAGTACCTATATATAATAACAATAACGTGAAAGATACCCGCTCAGTTATGTGACAGAGTACACACACGGCGTCAACAAACACACGACGACTTGCCAAATTACCACTGAATTTAAAATAGAAATTTAATTTATTTTCCCCTGTCAGAATCGCTTAGCTTTTTAACAAATATCAACTGATCCCATTATTTTATAAGTGCGAAAGTTTGGATGGTTTGTTTGTTACTCTTTCACGTACAAAATACTGAATGGATTTGAATGGAATTTGGTATACTGGTAAATTACATCTTAACTTGTCATACAGGGTACTTTATAAACTAAGATAAAGGCGAGCGAAGCTGCAGGATACAGGTAGTAAAATATATAATAGTCTTCTATTTTATCCGTAGATTGCTTTGTCACAATTTTAGCTCGACACGATTTATATTGTGAAATCCGAGGTAAATACTTCTCATGCATTATTATTTTTGAGATTTAAGGTTGTATGTCTTCAACCGACTTCAAAAAGAAGAAGGTTTTCAATTAGGTTTTTTTTTTTCACCTCATAAAGATTTTTGTCACCTCTTAACTCCGTCGTTTGTAAACCGATTTGGAAAATTATTATTTATCTAAAAGGATATACTTACAGATTGGTCTAGATTGATTTAGTTTATAAATCAATATAATTGCCTTTGCCAAAATTGCTAAATTTGTCGGTATTTTGTGGATCACGATCTTAATTATAATACAGTGTAATTTCACTACTACATTCCACCCTTCAAATCGAAACATAACCCTGAAAGTACGACTGTTTAGCTGCAGAAACACGTGTGTGTGTGTGAGTATATTTAAAATTATCCATATAGATAATTTTATATATGTATCCTCGGTAATAGAGGGAGCTCGGCTCCTTAAAAAGATAGGCACATATGATTTGTTATATCCCTTTGTAATCCAAAACTCCACTCTTATTCTGAGGTGGGCACAAGAGAATTCCAGTGGGCGCAGCTCACCCGGCCTTAATTTAATTTATGCGTGTGGGACAAAAGAAGACGCCTATGCAGATCAAAGTTATTTGCGACGCGAAATGTACGACGAAAATTTGATAAACATAAGCTTAAGTACGATTTCTACTTGATCCCAATTTCATTGTTACAAAAATCACTTTGTTGGCTTCTTCACTCTATCAATATTATACAGCCATATTATTTACCATAAAATATTAATTTCAATCTATAAAAATATAATTTATACGATCGTTTCTTGCTGTTCAAAATCATCACCCTCTTTAATCTTTGGCAGTCGGGTGAAAATACAACTTGGGACCAGGGATGCAGACAGGACAGTGCACCGTTTATATCTGTTGAGCTCTCGATCCGATTTTAAATGTCAGATAGATAATTGTGCAACATTCTGGCGGACGGTCAACGGATTCGTAGACCTGTCTCAGCCGAAATACCTCAGTTCGTGACTTTTTCCCGGACCGCGCGTGACTCCCGCGCGGCCGTAACTCTCGCGCAATTTCAAAAACCATTCCACAATCCATAATACGGTGCAATAAAGCTGTAAATGCATTTATGGCATTATTTATTGTGACGCCACAATGCGTTCAAAATAGAATGTGTGCTGATTGAAGTTTATTCTTTGTTATAATTGGATTTCGAGATAATGGAAAGGAAAAGGTGATTTTGTACCCATTCATGTCTGTAAAAGGGATTTTTTTTTTCTAAATTTCGCTTTTCTAAATTAAATTCAGAAATTATTTTTTATGTCGTTTTATAAAATTTCAAAATTAATAAAATACATATATATTGTAAAAATATTATGGTCATTCCTGAAAAGCTGATTTAATTAACATAACATTAATAATATAATAAAAATACAAATTACAATTAATGAATAATTACAAATTAAATTAATTACCTATCTAATTACTTTGCTACTCTCCTGTAGCCCTTCTATAGTTTTTTTTTTAATGGATGATAATGGAATGGTAACTCCGCCTGTGCTAACGGTATACGCTGGTGAGAGTACCAGTGAGAGATGACAGGTGAGGATGAAAGCAGGTCAGTTGGCCCATTGTTACGAATTCAAAAAGAATTAACCAAGATGGTTTCCAGGGGGAACCGCGTAGAGTTCGACCTGATAGGGTAAATTGTTAGCAATGGGTTTGTCAGATCCTCATTACTAACAATCCCTTTCCCACTACCCTTCTATAGTTATTACATATATCTATTTATTTCATTGAAAAATCAATAATAGAGCAATTGGGATATCACAGTAAACATATAGTTTATTTTAACTTGAAATATCGTAGGCATAAAAGGTCATGTAATCTTACTTTAGCAAAGTTTAAATACCTAGTAAATTTCGGGTTTTATGTTTGTATGAATGTAAACGAAACTATGCTTTTTACCGGCTTCAAAAAGAAAGAGGTTCTCAAATCAATTGTACTTGTCTATGTTTATTACTTCATAACTTCGCCAGTTGTAAACTGGGGGTCTACCATGAAATGTGATTCCTAATTTTCGGACTCAGTCTCGTGTTCTTGTTGGTACCGAAATCGGCCCAGTAAATGAAGCTTTCTTTAATTCTTTATTGTACACAAAAGGTTATTGAAATGGAAAAACAAACATTTTAATATTTTGTTCGTAATAAACTTTATCATAAAAGTCTAAAGGAACGATATTTTAATATTTTTAAACGATACGTGTAGTTATGTAATTTTAACATCAAATTTTTGTTTCGTTCGGCCCCGAATTTTCGGAAAACATTTCATGGTAGACCCTCAGATCTGGAAAATCATTTTTTTATCTGAAAAGATATACTTACAGATTGGTCCCATAGAAATTTCATCAAAATCGATCCTGTAGTTTAGTCTTCAAAATAAAATAACCAATATTGCCACAAATGAAGTCAGCTTTTTTAATTTTTATTTATTTGCGTGTTTTTTAATTATTATTTTTTTAATTATATACATGTGCGGGTTTATTTGCGGCTAGTTTTGAATTAGGACATAAACGATCTAACACTATACCATGGGTTTTAGTGTTATATCATATCTTTATATCGTAATGGAGAATAAATATATCATCTATAGTGGAAGAGGATTATCAGTACTAATTCCCCATAGCTTACTAGCTACTCTCAGGTTTAAAAAAAAAAAAGTTAAGTAAACTAAACTAAATGTTCAACATCTACGCGGTCTCCTTGGACATCATCGTGGTTAATTCCTCTTGGATTTTTCGTGGCCAAATGCCCTGATTTTATGTTTATCTTTTCGTCTTCATTATGACTGTCAAGTACCTCGTTAGCATTGATCAATAGCATAGGCGAGCTTTCCATTCCATTTTAACCTTTTAAAACATATAACTTACCTCTAAATATAAATATATATAAAAAAAAAAACTATATTGTATCTTCAAGTAATAAGTTCACACCATATATAAGTAACATCCCTGCTTTCGCAAACATACATAAGTACTTAAAAACAACTTATCATCAGGCTGGCCTTATGATATTTACAACTATCATCATATATGTACACGAAAAATTATTAGGCCACGTAACATTTGTTAGCAACTCTTTAATCAATTTGTTAACACAATTCATGATTTATATGGCATCTGTGTATATTGAAGATTGGGTTAAATAAAGATCTCGCTCGTGGCCCAATTAGGGCCAGATATGTTTGTATTGTTGTGCATATCTCGGAAACTGGGCACCTTTTGTTCGTAACAAAGATTATGATCTTTGAACATCTAGTCTCCTGTATATTTTTATGTTGCAAATTGGTAAGCAATTAGATTTTTTTTATACAACTCAGAATGGCACACAAGCTGACGGCCCATCTGATGGAAAGTGGTAACCGTTGCCTATAGACATGAGCAGTATCATGGACATAACAGAGTATACTGTTTCGCCCATGATACGCCCCATGCGTTGCCATTCCTGAGGACTCAGGTGTTATTCCTCTGTACCCAGTAAATTCACGCCATATTCCACCCTTCAAACCGAAACACAACCATGCAAACACAACAGCTTCACGGTTGAGACACGAATGGGACAGAGGTACCCAAGCAATCGACTTTTGTACAAAGTCTCCCTCTAGTAAGATGTAGTAATATTTGCATTTATACTTGGTTAGATGGAAGAATGATGACGATGAAGAGTCGGAAGTATTTAGTAGAAAGAGATCAATTTGTAACCCAGTAATAGTACATAAGTACACTAGGAAAATAGGACGAGTTAAGACAATATGTTTAAGAGGCCTACGGCCACCTTCTATCATCGTACGGCTCGCCATCGACAGGGAGTTCACCCTCGTACCTTACAGCCTAAATGGTCGCGTACAACGCGGTTTCAGAGATGCTCTCTCCCACGAACACTCAGGTTATGGAATGAGCTCTCTGCCGAGGTTTTCCCAAGGGACTACAGCATGGGGTTCTTCAAGAGGGGGGTAGAGAGGTTTCTTCAGGGTTGGCAACGCGCGTGTAATGCCTCTGGTATTGCAGGCGTTCATAGGCTACGGTAACCGCTTACCATCAGGTGGGCCGTATGGTTGATTGCCACCTCTGTGGTATAAAAAAAAGAGGTTTCACAATGATTATTAACCGTTATTGTTTTTTTTTTTTTAAAAAAGGACCATGATCTTTTGATAGAAAGGTTAAGGAGTTACCGTCGTCTAAACGTTAAGAGATGAGGAGCAAATTTTAAGAAATGTATTAGGTATGAGTGTGGTATAAGAATGTGGTATAAGGGCAGAGGAAGACCTAAGAGTAAAAAGTTATGGTTGGACTATGTGGGAGAAGAATGGAAGATAAAAATACATTACGCCGATGTTAAATAAACAATTCAGATAAGGGTACGAAGATGATGAGGTACATTAGTAGATTTCCACACATTTACATCTCTACTTGTTATACTGATTTATACTATTCGTATATATGTAAAGTCAAATATATATATATAAACATCACATTTTATTATGTGACACCACTCGTAAAATATATCAGTCAGCACGCAATCAATTATACAAACCAGTTGTAAGTTTTAAATGTGCGTTTATCGAAAAAAATAAAAAAAAATCAGCTTTTCAGAAATAGCCGTTTCTAAGGCAGTTTTTCATACGTGAAGTACATTGTAAACTCTGTGGAATTCTGAGTGGGACTGTCGGGGCTGGTCTGCTCAAGCATGTTCCGACCGACTCTATTCCGCGGCCTGAGCGACGACTCAGCTGATGTAACCAACTATGAAATTGCCAGAAGCCGCCGCGCGTCGCTCTCGGCTGAGCAGCGACGCAAACTGAGCATGCTCAGGACGTCCAGCATCCCAGCGCCGTTGACACCGGTGAGCCACATTTACCATTTGGTACCCTGCCCGAGAAAATGCTGTTATCAGGTATAGTTTATACTCGGTTGATGTGTGTGGCTAATCGATCGATGTGCTTTCCGCTGAGCGCGTCTCGTCCGCTAGAAGTAGGTATTGTATGTTATACACTATTAACCAGAACTCTTCGTTAGAGTTTAAACTTTCAAACAATCTCTCTGTCAGTCGTTTTATTAGTAATTAAACAAACGGATAGAGAAATAAATATACCGGTAAATTACTTAATTATAAGTATATTAAAGTTCGAATTTAATGCAAATTACCTATTTGATATTAAAATGCAATTTTTATAGGATATTATTAAAATAATAATATTATGTAATAATATTGTAATAATAAAATATAAAAAAATATTTAATTAATAGTTATAATAAAATGAAAATTATTTTTAACAAATTAGTTATGAAGCACTGAAAAATAATCATAAATTAATTTATATGTATCGACGTATTAAAGAAATATTAAATTAACTTATTATGAAATTATTATTAAATTTATTAATAAATTAAAGTATAAAATTTTACAGAATTTTATAAAATTTTATATAAAAACTATATTAATTGGTACCAATTATTTTTAGCAAGTTAATCGTTAAATGCAATATAGAATATTTGTACAAAGATTTATAAAATATCTCGAATGTTTGAAGTAAGTAGATTAAAAAACATCGTTCCATAGATAAATTTGCTTTTGGCTCACACAGCAAAATATGTTTTAGTGCACACAATTGTAGTAAACTAACCATGATTAGTTTATTGTTTATATGTAATTAGATGTTTGAAATTGTATATGTTCGTATGCTTTTGTACGGTAATTTACGCGTACTTATCGAAAGTTCATACGTCGGTTGCATGAGTACGCACACGGCCTATTGTATCAGAAGGCAGTATTAATATTATGAAATTTTATGTCTAATAAAATAAACTATATTACACCGACTTTTAGATCTTTACATTTAAAAGTTTAAATCCGACATTAAAGTTTCCTAAAATATCGTTTTTATTTTTTTTAATTTATTAGTTTTGTTGATGTTGTTACATTGTTCTTGGTGTACACTTGTGTTTATTTGTTGGTACGAATTTGAGCTGCGTTTTGAAAGAGCAAAAGTTTGTCGTGGAAATGAATGTGTTTCGAGTAATGTACATATCTAATAGATTACTTTCAGAATATATAGATGCACATATAATATATGTTTACATTTAGTTATATAGTAAATTATGTATAAATATTGTGTATAATATATAATGATATATGTCCAGTACATGTAAATTTGAGGATATAATGGTCATATTGTTGACCATTTATTTCAAGGTTTTTATTATGCAACTTAGATAAATGAACAAGTTGACAGTCCACCTGATGTAATGTGGTAATCATCGCCTATAGTCATGAACAGTACCATGGACAGCACAGTATACTGTTTCGTCCATGATACTCTCCATGCGTTGCCATTCCTAAGGACTCAGGTATTATTCCTCTATACCCTGTAAATACACGCCATATCCCACCTTTCAAACCGAAACACAGCCATGCAAACACAATTGCTTCACGGTAGAAACACGAATGGGACAGAGGTACCCAAGCAATCGTAATAATAGTAAATTATATATAATTATTGTGTAAAATATATAATAATATATGTACAGTTCATGTAAATTTGACGATATAATGGTCACATCATTAACAAATCAAATTATATTTTAGTTTAATAACTAGTGGTTTAAGTTACGTGTGATTAGATCGAAAAAGTTCGACTAGTTTCGGAATCAATTCGTGATCCTTACTCATGAGACTGACACAGTAACAGTGTGTCAGGCTCGTGCTCGCATCACAATCACACATGACTATTTTTCGATATATTTACAAGTAAGTTAAACCGGTAGGTTTTACATTAAAATTAAATTATTCGAAGTGATGGTGGTAGATTCATCTCCTTCTATGTTAGATTTTCATATACTTAATACAATGTAGGCATTTTGACTATTGTGTTGTACATAACAGTAATTGACTCTCCTATCAGGAATAACAGTCTTAAGCATATTTATTTTTAAACTTTTATTATATATTTTTATATAATTTTTGTAGATATACCTACGTCTAAATAAGAGTTTATATATTTGTACGAACGAATAAATTTCTGGAACTATTAGTTGGAGTTAGAATATTTTTTTGCTTATTACCCGAGTAAGATTATAGGCTAAACGACCACAGTTTAATTCGTGGGATGCAGTTGGTAATAAATTAAAGTTCCACGATCTGACCCTAATCTTTATCTATCATGTAACTAACTCATTGACACAATGTAATGAATCTCATGTTACTATCCGTCTTGCTATTGTCGGTGCAATAACTGCATTTTATAGGGGGGATAGGGATTGTTAGCAATGGAGTTTGACAGCCCCATTGTTAGCAATATGCTCTATCAGGTCGACCTCTACGTGGTTCCCCCTGGAAGCTTTCGTGAACAATTCTTGTTGAATTCGTCACGATGGGCTAACTGACCTGCTTCATTCTCATTTATCATCCATCACTGGTAACTCGCTAGTGTATACCGATAGCACAGGCGGGGCAACCATTCCATAATCATCCATTAAAAAAAAATGCATTTTATAAAAAAAAAAGTAAAAATACAATATTATTAAACAATAATAATTTTTGCCACTGTTTATTTTTGTAAACTAAAACGTACCGACGTAAAACTCGTCGAGTTTGATTTATTATCTTTTAAATAAGGTAGGTAGGTGTTGTTGACTTCCATATCTGTCACCGGTGATGTTCAACCCAAATATTGTACACATAGACTAAACATTTTAACAGTTCGTGATTGTTGTACCAATTAGCAGTACAACGCAGTCGATTGCATGTTTTGTTAAGTGTCCACATTGTTCTTCTTGTGTCCGAACACCAATCTATCACTGTCATTTCTTTTCTACATTCAAAATAATCTTACGCATTGGAATCTAGCCAATAAGTACATGATTGCCACCAATTTTCGTCTGTCTATCAATTCCATATAAATAAACAATTTAATTAATTAGTAAATGACATATTAATGATTTTGATAATATTGCCGACGGGTTATACCGCAATAAAATTATATTAACTATCTCATTTAAGCACTAGTTTACCAGAGGGAGACTTTGTACAAAAGTCGATTGCTTGGGTACCTCTGTCCCATTCGTGTTTCTACCGTGAAGCAGTTGTGTTTGCATGGCTGTGTTTCGGTTTGAAGGGTGGGATATGGCGTGAATTTACTGGGTACAGAGGAATAACACCTGAGTCCTCAGGAATGGCAACGCATGGGGGTATCATGGGCGAAACAGTATATATACTATGTTATGTCCATGGTACTGCTCATGTCTATAGGCGACGGTTACCACTTTCCATCAGGTGGGCCGTCAGTTTGTTTGCCATTCTAAGTTGCATAAAAAAAAAAAAAAAAACTAGTTTTTTTTTTAATGGGTAATAATGGAATGGTAATCCCGCCTGCGCTATCGGTATACGCTAGCAGGGCACCAGTGATAGATGATTGGTGAGGATGAAGGCAGGTCAGTTGGCCCATCATGAAGAGTTCAACAAGAATTCACCATGATGGTTCTCCATAGCTCGCTTATACGTAAATTGATTTTTTTGTGTATGGGCAATATTGTAAAAATGGATGATTAATCAGTCCAAAAGAATGGAATCTTGAAGCAAAAGCCATATGCTTAGTATAATAGTAACAGGTTCTATTTTTTTAAAGAGAAACTAGTGCCTAAAGGGAGGCAAGGGATTGTTAGCAATGGGTTTTAGTAACCCTGTTGCTAGCAATATACGCCATCAGGTCGACCTCCACGCGGTTCTCCCTGGAAACCATCGTGACTGATTTATCGTCGAATTCGTCACGATGGGCTAACTGACCTGCCTTTTCATCCTCACCGATCATCTCTCACTGGTGCTGTGCCAGCGTATACCAATAGCACAGGCGGGGTTACCATTGCATTATCATCCATCAACCCCCCCCCCCCCCTTATGGGGGAGGCCTAAATTCAGCAGTGGACAAAAACGGCTGATACGATAATGAAGACGAAACGATAACAACTGTTTAATAGTACCGTTATGTTCACACGAAACTCGTTTCTACTCGTGCGCACGTCACGGCGAACCCTGAACGTTTATATCGGTCGCGACAATGAACATTGTTGCATGCGGTTTATTTATCGTAACATAACAAGAAACACACGGAATACGCGCTGTTAATGGGCCATAACTTATTTTTAAGTGCGTTATTGATTACGTTTTCAAGAGCATTGACGGAATCCTTTGATGGTGGAACTGTACGCAACGTATGGGAACGTTTAACACTTGACGAAAATACTCACCGTACTAAATTAATGACATGTTTACTATCATCATTGGACTTTGTGTGTAAATTGTGTTCACAAAAGATGAATGGACAATACTATGTTTATAATATGTTCAGTTAAAAATAACAATATATACATACATATCTGTCACGCTTATCTCCCATTAGGGTAGGCAGTAACAATGGAACGCCAAATGCTTCGATTCAAACAAACCTCTTTCGCTTCTTCCACATTCATCAATCTTTTCATACACGCTCGCCGGTTACGGGTACTTTTAATTTGGCCCTTCTTCAGCACGTCGCCTATTTGGTCAACATACGTCCGTCTAGGGCGGCCACAACAAAATAGACTACACAAAAAATAATAAAATTTATTTATTGGCGAAAAAATTAAATTGGGTATAATAGTGTATTTTTTTTTTGATAGGTGAAAATGGTATGGTAACCCCGCCTGCGCTAACGGGATACGCTGACGGAGCACCAGTGAAGGGTGATAGATGAGAATGAAAACAGACCAGTTAGCAGCGATTCCCCCTGGAAACTATCATGGTTAATTCCTGATGAATTCATCATGATGGTCTAACTGGCCTGTTTTCATTCTCATCCATCACTCTTCACTAGTGCCCCGCCAGCGTAGACCGTTAGCGCAGGAGGGGTTATCATTCCA